TCAAACATATCGGCAACCATTCCAAGGGTCACGGAGCCACCTGCAGAGCAAAGACCACCAAAGAGACGTGCAATTAGTACTTGATGCCAGGAAGTACTGGCACCGGCAAGTATCTGCCACATGTTGACAGTGAAGAGTGATACTTGCATGATGGGCCACCGGCCAAACTCTTCGGACCAAGGAGCCCAGAGTTCGCATCCGAATCCGTACAGAATCAGGAACCAGGCCATTCCCGCTCTGGCGTTGGTGAAGTGATTGGTTCCGAGATTGTAGTGGGTGTTGAGGCGCCCGATGGCGTTTGAGTAGACTGCTGCATTGTAATCTATCAAATATTAGTTCTGCGCAGCTTCGATGTTTGGCAGGTTAGTTGCTTCACTTACTCATACTAGTCTGACACAAAGCCACAACAGTCAGAATCTGCCACTTCTTCTTCGTCGAGAACATGTATCCCGTCTTTTCAACGGAATTTGCGTCATCGAGCTTGAAAGCGCCGCTGGATCCTGTTTCGGCACTCCGCGTAGGAACCATTTCGATGTTGTCGTTTGGCTGTTTCTTGCGGCTGGTAGATCCGCTTGACTTTGCGTCGCTTCCGCTCCGGAGGTGCGTAGCCATGATCTGTGCCGTGTCAGTAAAAGAATGTTGATATGGTACATGAGATAAAGTCAACGTACCAGCGATGAGTCAGTGGTTAGTTGTTGAATGGGTTTGAACTCGTGAGAAAGCTTTGGAGACTCAGTCGTCAGACCATGAAGCACTTGAGGATCAAAAGATAAGGAATACCAGACATGGGAGTTCTTATGTATCGTGTTGATCTGGGGATTGAGTAATGATCCTCGGAACTGGGGCTGGTACGAGCCTTCATAACCATAGATACGTTCAAGTTCCAACGTATGTGCAATACGTTGCATTGCTCTGGACAAAATGCGCGACGGCCCGCGCTCAGAACCATGGTTCAACTTAGGCTTCCCCACACACTGGCTAGAGCATCATATTTTTCTCGTCTACTAATTGGTTTCAAGTTTATGATATCTTATCCACCAAACATAACACTGTGTAGGGAGTGGAGTTTCATCATTTGAAGGCACAATCAAGTGAGGCTGTATCACCTGATACGATATCTTCCATCCTTAAAATCTCATCTCTTCACCCTTCAATCGCAAAAATAATCAGGTCCGCAACCCCGCAGGCAAACTACTAACACCTCAACATTGCACGTACATAACGGTACCTGACCCATCCCCTTTTTCCAAAAGAGTTAGTACCGAGGCCCACACCATGGTTCCTGCATATCTCTCCGCAAAATGGAACGCGGAGACTCCACACAACTCAAATAAGGCCTCTCCGCTTCAATGCCCTTGTTTCTTAACCCACCCTAGGGGTTTTGGGTTGCAGGCGATTGGATCGTATTTCGGATGTACCTGATACTTACCAGGTATGTGGGCGTAAAATTGCATGGGGGAATTCTGGACCTTTTGATGTCCAGTAGCACTCTCAGGTATTAGCATCGTCATTGTCTTTTTCGCTTCTGCTCCCAATTTTCGTTCGGTCGTTCGGTCACCTGAGGTTTTGATCGCGTCTAGCTCCTTTTCTTTTTGATATCGTGATGTTTCAGATCCTGAAGATATGCTACCCGCTCCACTTCCAGTCTTTGGAATAACTTTCTGTCTATTTGGTCATGAAGGATCAACAATATCCTATATAAACATGAGGAGAGAAAGCCAGTAGGTCACTGGTAACCACAATGAGATTCCAATATTCCCAAACTATAGTGCGTTGTCTGTTTATTTATGATGAGAGATAAGTGGAATTGGGTGACTGGTTAGAATGACCAAAGTCCTCAGTTTGACAAAAAGTAAAAGTCCAAGCAATATTGCATATAGCGCCACCATGACAGCTGCGTACACTTTCACCAGAGGAGACCCGAGTCAAATGGTTACAAGAGTGCTAGTATGAAGACCAACATGCAATTACACAATAGATAGTGTGTAGAAGAGCATCAAACTATCGGCCAATGCAATGTCGCAGTATGGTCTGAGCTGAAATGGACGATAGTTGGGGCTGGACTCGAGGCTACTGAAGCCAATCATGTGACCCTGATGACAGACTAACCAGATTGATTCGCCATGACCGCACGTGAGACCGCGACATGGGGAGATCTATTTCTACATCGGACCATCGCACACACGGCCTTCCAATTCCCTGGGACTCCGTGTATATGCTTTTTCTCGATTCGGACTTTTGTCTCCGTCACGCCGCGTACTGACATCCCGACGCCACTTGTTGAGCCACGCTGCAGGACTTCACCGTTGCGCTGAACACATCTCGAGGAAAGTGAGAGTGCGCGTAAGTGCCCTTTACGACTGCGCTATTACCTGAGTCCACGCTTCCGTTCTTATTTCGCCTTGCCAATTGTGCTCCCTGAATTGGCATAAACAAGTTGGCTGTCATCGACGCCTGCCGTTATATGTCAACACTGCAGGTCCGCCAATCACTGCACACGCCAACCCAACCCAAGTACCTCAAATCACATCATTCGCCATTCTCGCACTCATTAAAAAAGTTCTGGAGTTCTGCCGTAAGATGGTGAAAAAGATAACGTATTCGCGGCGGCAACCCGACAAGCGGCGCCTTTCCTTCGATTTTGATCAAGTTCGTGAGAATGACGACGGCCGCAAGCGGACCAAGACGGCTCATGAATCAGATGAAGTTCAGTTTGTGACTCCGGCTTCAAAAACACGGGCCAAAAAGCCGCTTGTGTCGAAGAAAAGCGCATTTGGTGGACCCGTCTCAATACCGGATGATGCCGATTTGGAACCTTCACCAAGAAGCGGCAACAGACTTTCGGTTTTCGACAAAGTTCTTAGTAATGGAAGGCACCAGCCTGAAAAGACAGACGAGAATAGTCTCCAAGCCAATAAGCAACAGTTTTCAGAGATGATGAAGATCGGACAGAGGTCCAGAGAACACAACGACCAGAAGAGCAAACGCTATCTGCCTACGCCACCAGCCGAGGTTCAGAGAAAAGGGCACGATGAAGTGCAGGAAGATGAGGGTTTTGTACGGCTGAATGGATATGTTGACAAGGACGGGTTGAACACGCCTGAGACATCACCTACTCCTTCAACGCGAACCTTTCAGTTATTTGGACAAGCCCGCAAAAATGCGCCGAGAGAGCCCTACCAACCAAGGGCCTACAAAGCCTTACTGACTCCCGCACCTCGCGAGAAGATTGGTGGGTCTCTGTTATCAAGAGAGTCTCGTGAAACCCAGTTGTAAGTGCGATTCGGAATGCGTCTTAGTTCCGCAGACTGACTCGACTAGATGGTCGACGAACCAAGTCAGCTCACCGTTCTTGCAGCTCCCGCAAAATGTCCGGGATATCATCTACAGATATACACTAGGCGGCAAAACAGTCAACATCAACTATGAGACATACCGGATAACCTTCGACCCCACGAGGCCTCAGGTGGCGAAGAAAGTCATGCCTGTCTTCAAATATAATTGCACGGTCATTGACGGCAAGATGAATCCTTTCCAGGCGGCGGCCAAGCCGTATATCAAGATACGCAAGAGCCTCACTCTACTGAATAGCGTCTGTCGGCAGTTGTATGTGGAGACTGCGACTCTGCCATATAAACTCAACATGATGTGCTTTGCCTCACATAACATCATGGTCAACTTCGTGCTCATGGAGAAGCGACTGTCTCGTGAGCAACTCGATGCCCTCACGCAGCTGCTCCTTCGCAACGAGCTGCCTGGTCCGAACCTGCTGGCTTGTCTGCGGAATCTCGAGAAAGTTTACCTTGTATCTGACCAGAGTGGGAAGTCTTCGGGTTGGTATCATGTTGAGCGTGAGGAAGGAAAGGAGCCAAATCTAGTCCAGGCTCCGAAGGGGCGTGCATGATAAGTGGGTTGGGTGTGTTGGGTGGATGTAATAGGCAGTGGATGGGATTTCCTTTATCTGGTCGGATTCCGACAAATACGGCGGTAAGAAGCACATATTCACCGGTCTTGTTGTAGACGGACTGGAGATGCAATATGCAGCATGACTCGATTTTCTTAGTAGTGCACAATGCATCTGTGGTACGTGGCCGTGCCACTTTTGGGGGGCGCATGGTTGGTTTAGTCAGACTGGCATGTGAAAGAGGCACCGTATCTAAGCCCGAGTGTCGTTCAGATGACCACGAGCTTGACACCCTTAATTTTTTTTGGTGTGTGCACTGTCGTCTCATGTGCTTGGATCTCGTGCTGTGTGGAGATCGAAAGGAGCAGTCGGAACGCGTGGGAAGCGGTTCATGGGCGCACCCCACGTTTGCACCCTCTCCGGATCTACGTACGCTGCCTGCCGGTTCTCCGCAAGCCAGTGACCCCAAGTCAGCACTGTCAGCAACCACAATGACCAGGACGGTGCATGGCAGCGGATACAGTAGTGTGGAGCTTCTGCAGGTCCCAGAGGAAATATTTGCTAATCATCAGCATGGGCCGACAAGGACGGCCAGTGGATGCTGCTGGAGCGAGTCGTTGTCACATTTCTTTAGCCGTACCCTTGAGGTTTAATGACGATGGCCCATGGACACGCACCCACTCCTCCCCCGGCCCTCGAGCCTGCACTGGCAGCTTCTGGTAAATACTTCAGACGCCGGTGTCCACCTTCGCTGCCCATCTCCTGTCGCTCTGCCAGCTGTTTGCTACAAAATTCCACTCGCCGACCCGTGACGTAGCTTCCGCGACTTGCGCGACACCTGGCGCATGACCACCGCTCACGGTTGACCCCATTTCCGCCAATACCTACACCGCGTCTCTGGGGAAAAGCACTATTATTACTACGCTGTCGACCGCCGTTTTCGATTGAAATATCTCGTCCTGCCAGTCTCCGCCTTCCCACCCCGATAGCTTCACAACCTGTTGCGCAGCGCCCCTATCGGCCCTTTCCTTTGACCATTGTCCGACCATCCAATTCAGGCCTTGTACCGTTCGCGCATGGCGTGCACCATTGCTCCATGTCACTGCTGTCTGACACTATCTTTGCAGGCGGCAGCACTCGACTGCACGTAAGAGGAGGACAAAATGGCCCGAAATCCTTGAAGAAGAGCAAGAGTCACGCCGGGTTCCTTGGTCCCCTCGCACACCTCGTCAGGAACCCCGTAGGCAGTCTCGTGGGAATATTAGGCGACAACAATGTCCCTGAACAGGGGGTTGGTACAGCGGAAGACGCCCGCCGCCAGGTTCTGTACCTGCGCATGAAAGACGTGGGTTCCTCAGATTGGTGGTACCCATCATCACATGCTAACGAGACTGCGCTGCACAGGCCGAGACCTACGACGAATGGAAAGCCGCTGCCACTGAGCTCGACATCTTAGAGGGCAATGAGGCCTGGAAAGACGAAGATGAGACGCTCGAGTACAACGCCGACCTCGTCGCCGCTCGCCTAAATGAATTGGACGACGCGCGTATGAGTTGCGACGTCAAAAGGATGTTGTTCCTGATTAGAACCACCCTCACCCGCGGCTTGGGCGACATGGGTGATCTGCGCCTGTACAAGCATTCGCATATCGGCACCAAACGGCTGATTGAGAGGTACATTGAGTCAGCACAACAAACTTTGGCTGCCTTGTTGAGCGTGTCAGAAAAGCAAGGAGACCAGTGTTCTGTCGAGCCACGACGACTGGTCGACCAGCTCCTGCAGACACGTCAATCCTTCGGCCGAAGTGCATTGCTTCTGTCGGGAGGTGGCACTTTGGGCATGAACCACATTGGCGTTGTCAAGGCCCTGTGGGAAGCCCGTCTCCTTCCACGCATCATTTCTGGAGCATCTGCTGGAAGCATCGTCTGTGCTGTGCTTTGCACCAAGACGGACGCAGAGATACCAGATGTCATGCACGAATTCTGCTATGGTGATCTGAATGTGTTTGAAGACCCAAACCAACCTGATGGTCTTCTAGGCATGGCGATGCGTTTGATGAAGTCTGGTGTTCTTTTCGATATCTCGCATCTAACCAGAGTCATGAGAGGCTTGCTCGGAGACATGACTTTTCAGGAGGCATACAATCGGACCCGTCGCATCTTGAACATACCGGTTTCAACATCCTCGCTCTATGAGCTGCCCAGGCTGTTGAATTATATTACGGCGCCGAACGTCATGATTTGGTCGGCTGTGTAAGTAATGTGGATACACTGTTTTATGTTTATACTAATGAAACTTAGCTGTACCTCTTGCTCGGTCCCATTGATCTACAAGAAAGCCTCTCTTATCGCCAAAGACCCCAAGACTGGTCTGGAAGTTCCTTGGGACCCCAATCCTGACGCCACTTGGATCGACGGCTCGGTTGACAATGACCTGCCAATGACACGTCTGTCAGAAATGTTCAATGTCAACCACTTCATTGTCTCTCAAGTTAATCCACATGTCGTTCCTTTTCTGGAGAAGGAGGAGGGGCTAGTTCCTATCGAGGCTCAACAAGAAATTGACGTTGGTCCTAGCTGGCTAAGCCTTTCCGCCAGTCTGTGTAAAGGAGAAGCCATGCATCGCCTGCAGCAGATGGCAGATACTGGGGTTTTTCCAAACCTTGCCACCAAAGTCAAATCGGTCCTTAGCCAGCGGTATTCTGGAGACATTAATATCTTTCCCAAGATCCACTATGCCGACTTTCCTAGGGTGCTGAGCAACCCGACAACCGAGTACATGATTGGATGTATGCTAACTGGGCAACGTGCTACTTGGCCGAAGCTTTCACGCATACAGAACCACGTCGCCATTGAGCTTGCTTTGGACGATACAATACAGCAATTGAAGGGGCGACTTGTTTTCCCCTCCACACCCACCGAACCCCAGATCAGACGCACAAATTCTCAAGACACTAACATTTCCCAAAGAAAGCGAGCGAGGTCGACACACAAGTCAACGCGCTTCCAACTGAGGACGAGCCCTCCCAGCCCAGTACTTAGAAAGTCAGCACCTACTACACCATTCCTTTCTCGCGCGCAGTTGAAAGCATCACTGCAGCCTTTATCCGCCTCGAAAAAGATTAATGACGCAACCCGTCGCCAAACTCACGGCCTAAATATTGATGCGATACAATTGGAACCAGCATCGTCAACCAACGACACTTCTGACCAAGACTATTTTGCAGACCCCGACTCAGACCTCACAGATGGCATCTCATCACCTTCCCCACCCACGTCACCCAATTTCCAAGGCCCAACCCTATGGCCGTCGACACCCCAAGCCGTAATGCGACCTGCCCCGCAACCGGTATCACAACCTATATCATCACCACCTGCCAATACAAGCCCACTTCGCCGCCGCACAGACACATTGTTCCATCTCACCATGACATCAGCGACCTCGCAGTCCACAGCGGGCAACGCACCAAGCTCGCCCGAACTACGCTACAAGCGCCTATTCCATCCTCCCGGCCCAGCTACCCCCGACGTCAGTGTTGGTCCGCCGCAGCTTGAGCAAGAATTTGTCTGGCCGACACCTTCACCGGGGCCCAGCCGCCCGGGCAGTAGACGCAACAGTGCATCTGGCTTGCCACTTGATTACTCGGGTACAAGGGGTATGCTGATGCGGAAGAAGAGTTGCATGTAATTTGAGTCTGTATAAAGATTACATTTTCTTTTGTAGATTTGTAGGACTACAAGCTAGTCTTGTGTCCATATCATCATCTTGTCCATCTGCCAGTCACACTCTTCTTTCATATGTTCTCCTGCGTATCTCCGCATTTTCAGGCGTGACGTGTTGAACTTTTTTTCTCCTTCTTTTTGAGGATGCAGAGTGATACATGGATACATAAACATTTACCTATTATTATTTTTTCTTTTGTGAAATACGGTAGAAAGCAGAGCTAAGAAGACATTATCGTGTATAGGGTATACAGATAGAGAGGCATTACCGAACTACTGGTAAGAAGCAGGATATACATACATCAGAGAAAAGAAAGAAAAGATCACAGATACATTATTAGTAGAGATTTAATATGTATATATCCTCTTATCGCATTTTCCTCTCTATAGTCATGCCCCATTCGTATATACCATTACTCATATATTTAACCCCCCTCCATCTCCTTTCCTTCTGTCTCTCACATACCCCTTTCACCCCCAAACTTGACCTTGACCTCCTTCTTCCCCCTCCACCGCTCAATCAACTCGTACCCAAACACCAGCACAATCGGTAAACTCACTATAATCGCCGTGACCCGGCGCGCCGCGGGCTTGTACTTGGGCGGAAGCCGTATGTCGGGTGTGGGCTCGATGACGCGCGTGTGTTGGGAGAGCGCGGGCGGGATGCGGCGAGGGGTCGATGGGTAGGGGTTTGGTGGGAGGACGGGGTTGCGGGGGGATGTTGTGTGCGAGGTCGAGGAGATGGGGGATGGGGCGGGGATGGGTTTCTGTGGGAGGGGGATGGTTGTTGGTGTGGGGTGGGCGCGAGGGGGTTTGGGTTGTGATTGTGGTGGTGCTTGTGCCGTTGTTGCTGTTGCGGGTTTGGTTGTTGGAGGAGTAGCGCTACTCCTGCTCTCTAGGTTGGCTGCTTTGGTAGGTAACGTTTTGCTCAGTGTCCCTTTTGCGCGTACAGACTCGAGAATCTTGCTTGTTGCTGCTGTGACAGGCGTGGGATGTTCCGGCGCATTCTTCTTTGCAATTGTCTTCTTGTCCTTCTCTGGCGCGACGAATTTGTCCCTGGGCGCTATAGACTTTGTAGTCGCCTTTTTTACAGCCGACGTCTTCTTTGCGTCTGCGACTATTGTTTCCCCCGCATCTTCGGCTGCGGCCTTCTTAGGGCGTCCGCGTTTCTTGACTGCTGGTGGTTCGATGATGGTGTTTGTCGACGACATTGTCGCAATGTTTCTTGTTTTGCGCAATTGGTGTATAAACAGCGTCTCTAGGCAACGAACGCTGAAAGGGGTGTATAAGAGTCACCAGAGGCTTTGCGACACGAGGAGCAGGGTACGGGCGCGGCTTCGAGGGGTAGAGCGGGAAATTTTGGGCCAGTGTTTTTGGGCGGAGATTACAGAACAGGGATATGCGCGTATCGATAGGAGTACCGTCTAGCCATCCCTGCGTAGCGAGAAACCTTGTGTAGCTGGGCATTACATGACGTTGGTTACGACGAAGTAGCGATGTTAACTAAGCCTGGTAAGTGCACCGTTTTCAGTTTCGCCGAGTTGCAATAGACAGCAGCTGAGTCGTGCTTCACGCTAGCATTATCAGAGATGTGAATACTGCTCACAGCAGCAAGCCTGAAACCTTTAAGCAGAGCCGCTTCAGTTATTAGTACTCTGAAAATCTTCCTCATTACTGGTATGTACAGTCTTGGTCGTTATCGAGGAAAGGAAAAAATCTACATCTCCAAGTTTGGCATCAAGTGAGATTCACTAGTGCAAATAGTTCAGTATGATTTGGTCAATTCATGGTGAAAAAGATTAACCAAAATGATCATAAAATTTGACAGAAGAGTCAGCATGAATACCAAGTCACAATTGTACTTCAGCAAAAGTTCATACTCTCCCCAATCATCACACTTGGACATTCAAAAGCCCCCAAAGAATTTCATTCAACATACCAATCAATTACACTTTTCTAACTTCATCCCCTATATACGCGCCTCCCTGTAACTGTCCAAAGGAAAAGAAAAAAACCCCAAAAAATCTCACATCTTATCCGCCATACCCTCACCTCCCATCCAGACAATATACTGCTCAATACTCTTCTGCATGGCATTCGTCGACTTCTCAATCAAGCCCGTAAGCGGAGTCTTGGCCGCATGCTCCCTCATAACATCCAGGTAATCATCATTGAAACCATCGTTGATATTCATCTTGGCGACACCGCAGTCAATGCACTCGCGCAGGAGCTTCTCCTGGAAGTATTCTTTGCCCGCGCCGTGCAGCACAAGGCTGACGCGGTCGCCGACTTGAGCGTGGACGCGCTTGAGGCGCTCATAGTCGAGTTGTGGGCCTTTCGGGCCGTATTTGCCGTGGACGTTGCCGAAGGCGGGGGCCAGCCAGTTGATGCCTGTTGCGACGAATTCTTCTGCTTGCTCGGGCGTGGTGAGGATGGCTTCGAGGCCCATTTCGCTGAGGTCGCCTACGCCGTCTTCGCCGCCGTCGATACGGCCGGGTTCGGCTTCGGTGATGATGCCGCGCTCGTTGCAGTAGGCGACTAGTTCTTTGGTCTTCTCCAGGTTGTCGTCGTAGTGGCTCATGTCAACCATGATGCCGTCGAAGCCGTTCTTGATATCTGCTGCCTTCTTTACAATCTCGGGTGTTTGGGCGTGGTCCATGTGGAGCGCAATGGGCACACTGGCGTTGTCTGCTGCTTCACGTGCGGCGTGGACAAGAATGGCATCTGCGTATTGTACTGCCCATGGGAAGAGCTGGATAATGAGGGGAGCGCGCTTGGCTTCTGCAGCGCGAACAGATGCGAGGATTCCTTCAACGTTGTAGACACATGTTGCGCAGATGGCGTATTTGTTTGCTGCGGCGTGTGCAACAAGTTTCACGGCTTTGTTTTGGGAGAGATCGGGTGCCATTATGGATGATATATATGATGAATAGATTCTTTTGTATTGTATAGAATCAATGCACAATTCCCAGATGTAAGATGCTGGAGGGAAAGAGGAATGTGAGGTAGGATTGATGATACAGTCCTGCCCCTCGTATGTAGTAGTTCCGGCTGCACTTCCGACATTCCGAGAGTATGTTATGGCGGGGCTGTCGGCAATTGACCACATTATTTAACGGCGCAAACACCGAGGATCCGGCCCACTGGCCGCTCAATAGCTTCCGTATCAATGGCGGGGCCTGCGGGATACTCAGTTCAGCAGCTCTTGCCGCGGCTGAGTTTTAGTTTCACCCGGTGGTCTACCGGATTTTCCGGATTTTCCAAATTCCTCAGATGATATGCTCGAAAAAATTGAAATATGCATGCTTCTACAATGAGTCGGCAAAAGAGCCTAGGCTGGCATTTTCAGCGTTTCCCGCTAACGTTGTTCTTCATGCATCGATTATATGCTTGATATCCTACACTAGCGCAAAACACTGCCGAGTCTTAATTGACGGAAAGCAGTTCAATAGTCGGAACAACCATGTAGTATTCTTCAAGAAGGCCATGACATCATACCAAATCCTAACCATCCACATCTCAGCGTCTTCAAAACCATGAGTGCAACAGAAACGCTGACCATTCAAACCAATTACTCTTCCATCTTATCCCCACTATTAACAATGCCCGCATTCCCCTCTCCGAGATGCTTCAATAGCCAACTTCGCTTGAAGTACGTGTTGGGATGAACAATGGTATCCAGATCATTGTTACTCCAACTGCCATCGTCCTTGACCTTCTTAATTTCCTTTTTATGACTCCATTCGAAAACGCGATTGCAAGCTACGTGGTATCTCTGCTTGACCACATCTTCCTTGACTGTCTTGAGAGTATCGCGGTCGTTAACGCCAACACGTTGGAGGAGCGTGAGCAGGTTGTCCGGTGTAAATGTACGGTATGGGCAGCCATGTGACTGTCCTGGTCCAGGAAGAGGTTCTGTGAGAAGTTTTTGGCACGAGTAAGGGGTGTAGCCGCGGCCACGACGGTTGGCGTCACCACCTACATCGCCGTAGGCGTGGCGGATGTTGTATTTGTATTCTTTTTGAAATTTCTCATCTGTGATCAGCTTGAAGCTTCGCCGCCAGAATACCAAACACTCATCCAAACTTAGGCCAATGCCTTTCAGGAACAGAGTATACTGTAGACGGCCATAGTGCTTGAGATGTGAGTTCTCGCGCAATGTCATGTGTAGGTTGCGCATGCAGAGCGGGAAATTTTGCGACAGTGTATCGATGCTGTTAGCAGTTATGGTGGAGAGGCCGTTGATATCGGCATCTGACGTCGAGTATGCGGCGTCGGGCGCTGTGAAGGACTGAGAAAGGTGTGCAAGGATTGGTGCAAGGCGGTCGTCTTCGTCGAGGCGAGGAAGTGCTCGTGCTGTCAACTGTTCAAACGGTTAGCAAAAGATTCGAAAAATACGCATTGCGGATGGCATACTTCAAGTGCCTCGTCTAGTTTCTTTGTGAACTCGGCCACCACTAAGCTCATCTGCTCTCGTTGTGGCACATAAGCCATGCCCCTTCTCAACAGGACTTTTCTCTGTGCAACGAGTTCTGGCACTCGCTCCCAGTCGACTTTGAACCACTCCTGATCCTCAGTCTTCTTGATTCCGCTAGCAGCATGTAGGTCGTCCTTCAATTCGCGCTTCTCATCCTCTTTGACCTCCTCCCACTCAAGGTTCAGACTCTTTACGAATTCTTGTCGCTCTCGTATATCATCATCTTTGAACCGTAGTGTGAACAGCATTGTCTCTAGCCGCGAAAACCGCCGGCGGAGATCCTCTGTTGACGAAAACGCAAGCCTAAGTATGAAGTGTGAATAGTGGTCCCTTCGCCTCTCTTCCTGTAGTTTCTGGCTTCTTGACGAATCCGATCGAAGTGGTAGGTATTTGTCGAGTATACTCTTCATATACTCGGCCGTCTCTTCAGGGCTCTTGTTGCGGAAACTACATGCTTCGAGTTCGGAGAGGACTGCAACGTCAAAGTCAGCAAGTGAACACAGTTGTTTGCGCATTGTCATGCCACTGACCCTTCAATCGGTTGATTGCCCATGTCTCAAACTCCTCGAGAGTAATTTCGGCTGTGGGTGGCAGCACATAGAAGTTCAGCCGGTGCTGGTAGTTCTGTTGCTGGAATTCCGCTTTGGCAAACTGTCGCTTCTTGTAATCGAGATTGGCACGACGCTTGGTATCGACTCGGGAATGGTCGTGGCGGATCATGGCGAAGTTGTATTGTTGCTGGTCTATTACCTGGGCAAGCAAGTCGGGTAATGTGGATGCAGTATGTTAAAGTGGCAGGCGCGGTCGCGTCAACGCGTAAATCCACGCTAACCATTTAGAGCCAGCGCGCATCCCAGGTTTCTGATGGGGCACATTCGACCCCAGCTAATAGCCTACCAGCATGCAGTCCTGAATAGCACAATGTCAAAGCTACTTCGCCTTATGTGTATATATCTAAGTAGCGGATTGTATCAGTTCTATCAAGTCTATGTTCATTTTATTCCACCTCGATGCGCGATACATCAACGCTCCAACGCACGCTTGCTGTCTGCACACCACTCAGCCCAGCAAGTCACCTAAAGCGTTGACGTATGCGGTGGGAACTGTCGGCGCACCCTCGGCTAGGAAGTCTTCCTTCTTGCTGACACCGGTCAGCACAGCCAGCGTACCTCCCAACTTGCCGTCTATGCCAAACTGAATGTCGGTGTTCAGTCTGTCTCCTATCATGCAAGTCCTGCTGCGGTCGAATTTGAATTTTCCTTCTACAGCATCCATCATAGCCTGGCTCGGCTTGCCCAGAGACAGTGGTGCCCTTCCAATCGCCCTCTCAAGCGCGGCACCAGAAGAGCCTGCACCTGGGAACAGAGTATGCGACATTGGCAGCGTGCTATCAATGTTTGTCGCAAGGTAGACAGCCCCACGCTGTAGGTACTGAAAGGCGATTGCGGTCTTCAGATAGTTGGAGTGGAAGTCTAGCCCGCTGAGTACAATGCCGACATCTGGATCAAGAAGGGTGCCGTTCGCGATGGCATCGAAATCTTCTGGTTGGCGGATATCACGACGGTATGCAGGGTCTGTACCACCAATGTAGGGGACGCCTTCAGATTCGAGCTCCTGTTCGACGCCAGACTCGCCCAACACAAACACTTTGTTCTTCGGCCCGGGCAGCTTGAGGATGCGGGCAATGTACACGGCAGCACTATAGGACGAACCAAAGACTTCATCCTGTGGTATGGTCAGCTGGTGTTCATCCCTTGGAATCGCACATACATACCACATTGGCGGGTATTCCTAGTTTGTCAAACTTCTTCTTGTAGTCGGCACGCGATTTTGTGCTGTTGTTGGTAACGAAGACGAGCTGTTTGCCTGGAAATACTTATTAACTCTCCCAACCCTCCCAGGAATACGGCAAACGTACCTTTACTCCTCAGCATCTGAAGTGTCTCGGGAACCTTGTCAAACAAATGATCGCCGGACCAGAGAACGCCTATCCTTTGCCACAATCAGCAAACCGCTACATGTTACACAAAACTGCGACCAAGTAGTTGGGTGCGTACCATCGCAGTCAAAGAGGAAGACCTTTGGTGTTGTTAAGTACGATGCGATTGACTAGGGTGGGGTGGTTTGTGGACATACGTCAAATCTGTCCAGGAAGCCGTCAATAGCGACCTTGTCGCCGGAGAGAAACTGAGGACTCGCCATTGCTGTCAGAATTCCGTCTTCTTGTACAGGCCTTTGCAGCGTGTTGGAGTGCTAATAGGAGAATGATCTGGTGGAAGATGACAATGGTGGGGTGCTTGGCATGCGCCTTGCAGTCTGTTCGGAATGAAACCGATCAGTTCCGAAGGTCAAAAAGGTACTCATTTTATTTATTTCATCATTCGTTTATACATGCTACATGGTTCTTGGTCTCGTATGGCTCTTCACAGCTTGGATTGATCCAGTCAATCCACAATAATTTTCTTCTCCAGCTCCTCATAGTTCTCGAAGAAGCTATCGAACAGGTTCACGGCGTGCTCGACGTCATGGGCACCACCCGTCTCACGGATACTGTGCATGCTGAGCTGAGGGTTGCCCAGATCAAGGGTGCGAGCACCCATGGCTGCTGACAGCATGGGGCCAATTGTGCTGCCACACGACGAGTCATTGCGAACAACGAAAAGTTGAAGTGGAACTCCTTCCTTGGTCGACGACAGATTGTAAGAAGCAGGTTTCGCACGACGCGCCGCCTCCTGGAGCAGGACAATACCTGGCGTATTAGTGGCATAACGGGCATTGGCATTGATCTTGATGACTGTTCCCTTGTTCATCTCAGGCCTATGCTGAGACTCGTACTTGGCGGGGTAGTTGGGGTGGACTGAATGAGCCATGTCTGCGGACACGAGGAAAGATGTTGCCAAGGTTTGCTCAAACGCGGTAGCAGTATCGGCCTCCACCTTGTCATACGACTTGTCAGAGTTGCTCTCAGACGCGGGCAGGACGCTTAGACGGCGGATGACAGCAGGCAAAAGGTTCGAGTCGGCGCCTTGGGCTGTCTGGGAGCCAATTTCCTCATGGTCAAAGCATGCGATGAGTCGAATAATGGAATCCTTCTTTAATGCCGATGGAGAGGAAAGACTCTTGATAAGTCCCTCAACACTGCAGTAAGTCATCATGAGGTTGTCCAGGCGCGGGGAGAAGATGAGTTCGTTGTTCAGACCACCGATGACTGATTTTTGTGTGTCGTACAGAACCATCTCAAAGTCGACGATATCACTGGCTTCTACGCCTGCCTCCTCGGCGATGATGTCGACGATATAAGGATGATGTCTGGCGGTTGGAGCGGCGAGTGGCTCAAACGAACCCTCGTTGTCAGCGTCCTTGGTCTCCTCTTTAGTCTCTTCAGTCTTGCCCTGACGGTTCAGCTCTGCTGCAACCAGACCAGTGATGGGGAACAGTTGTGTCTCCTTGTTGAATTGGAAGTTCTCCTGGCGATCCAGGTGAATTGCCAGTGTGGGTATCCTCAGAATGGGTCGGTCCACCTTGACCAGGCGCTGCTCGATGTTGCCATCCTTTGTCCGCACCATGGCCCGACCGGCGATGCTGAGGTCGCGGTCGAACCAAGTATGCCAGAGCCCGCCGCCGTATGTTTCGCAGGCTACTTGGAGGAAGCCGTCACTCTGTCGCTTAGAAACGGGCTTGATGCGCAGACAGGGCGAATCGGTATGGGCGCCGATCATGGCAATGGGATTTCCTGGCTTCCATTTCTGGCCGATAGCAAAGGCGACGATGGAGGAGGTGTTGCGGGTGAGGTAGTATTTGCCTCCGGGTTGGAGGGTGGGTGCCCATGAGTCTCGTTCCTAAGGTTTCTGGTCAGGATATATGCAGGGGCTGGAAAGAGGGGCAATTGCAGACTTGCCTTGATCTGCTTGAAGCCGGCCTTCTCTAGTCGTTCCTTTGCTGACTTGACAGCATGGAATGCTATCGATGGTTAGCACATGTCAATACTCGGGTCATTGAATCCATCATACGCGTGGGCGAGGCATTCACAAAGGAGAGAAAGTCCTCTGCAGCTTGGAGAGAGGGCTTGGAGCTCATTGTTCGATGGATGCGCAACAGACGAAAAGGAGGTCGTGGTACAATAGAAGGGGCAAAGGGAGTGAGGTGCAGTAGTGTGGTTTGCAGCTTTAGATGTGGCACGATAGGCATTGGACCGCCAGGGCTACATACATAGTAAGTACAGGCAGGGCGGCGGGCGGTGTGTGGGGTATCGACGTATCGACGTATGGACGAGAGGCCGCGGCAGGCGGGCGGGACTAACCCGATTGAGCAGGCGGGCTCTCATTGGACGAGAGGCAGCGTCAACGCGTGCGAAGAACATCAAAACAGCGACAAGCCAAACATGGGAGGCACGACGAGGTGGCTCCTGCCTTCGCGCACCATCGCGACTGCCTCTGCTTTTGTGTATGAGGTTGGAAGGTGCTTCGGCCAGTGTGTTTGCATCTCCATATCCCCAACCACCCTCGTTTTGCGTAGATGCACCCTGTGGCTGTCCATTGTTAGCTTCCCGCCCCTCGCTCGTTGCCTGCGCCCGCTACGCTACCGCCGCCGCCGCCGCTCGTTGCTCCCCCAGCCAACTCGCGGCTATCCAGCATCCAAGCCCCGACCCGCAACCACAACAAGGTCACCGCCGACACCCCACCCGTTGCGCGCCAACCACCACAACCACAGCCGCCATACTGATCCGATGCGCACTGATCCCGCATAACGTCACTTCTCTTGTTCGCACCCGTGTGCGCAAAAACTCCGTGTTGTTGGTCAAAGAGGTGGATAAACAACCAAGGGGCAGCCATCTGTCGCAACAAGACGACTCACATCTCACCGCCGCACTCACCTCACCCCTCTCGCCTTCACCTTGATTCTTAGACCATCATTATTCGGACGAGCACACGGTCTCGAATCCGTCACCTTTGACGTGTCGCACTCCGCAACGTCTTTGTTACCCTGCTTGGTACACAATAACAACAACGACAACAACAACAACCACCCGCACCACCTCAGCTTCCACAACCCGGCGCACTCGTCACAATGGCACGAGGCCATTTAAGCGACGCAGCTACGGCGAATATACAGTCCGAAGACGATATCGCAACACCGACGCTGATTTCCCCGCCCGAGTCCAAAACACCACCGACCGCTTCCCACAAGCGCAGCCAGTCATTCCCTACCAAAAGGCTCAGTCGCAACTCAGAACCAATAGATCCCACAGCTTTATCAAAAGCGCTTGGACATATTGAACAAGCTGGCCGGGTGCGAGAGCGGACACCAACAGCAAGCCCCAGCCGAAAGCGCCCGCGGACGTACGGTGACAGGTGAGACTGCTACGCTGAAGCTGCAAGCACGCATGTTACTAAAATTTCGCTCAGATTTATCCCAAACCGCGCAGGCCAGGATCTCCAGGCCAGCTTCAATCTACTCCACGATGACGCATCTCCAGCGACCCCGTCCAAGGCTAGGCGGACTCCTCACAACGAGCTGCACTTTCAGAAGAGTAAGGACAATCAGTGTTTCATGCAGTCCATGGCTAACTAGGTCATAGCTGAAGAAGCCAACCGCACATATTCCGCCGTACTCCGACAAGAAATGTTCGAGGGCTCAGTGCCTCAGGCATTACCCCAGAGTTTGTCACCGACCGACAGTGGTAATATGAGGGGCGCAGGACGCTCACATACTCCTCCAGCGAGGACCACAGCCTCGCTACCGCCCCCTTCAGGGACTCCATCTACCCCGCACAAGAACCTCTTTTCCTACTCAGGCCAGCCAACACCGTCACGAACGCCTTCGAGTCGGCATGGTGTACTCAACCTCAATGCTCGATCAGACCTTTATAGTCTATCACCCATCAAGTACAGCAGTCAACGTATGCTGCTCAGCCCTCAACGTCAAGCTCGCGCAGTTTCCAAAGTACCATACAAAGTTCTGGATGCTCCCGATCTAGCAGACGATTTCTATCTAAACCTGGTAGATTGGGGCAGCCAAAATACTCTAGGTGTAGGCCTTGGATCATGTGTATACATGTGGAATTCGAGCAGTGGTCGCGTTACCAAGCTGTGTGAGCTTGCCGATGATTCTGTGACCAGTGTGAACTGGATACAACGTGTAAGTCTCGTACAGGGCATTTAATCTGCATGCGCGCTAACACAATCAAGGGCTCACATATCGCTGTTGGTACAAATCGAGGCCAAGTGCAAATATGGGACGCACAGACTCAGCGCCGCCTTCGTACCATGACTGGCCACACCGCTCGTGTTGGGGCCCTTGCATGGAACGAGCACATTCTCACTTCTGGATCCAGGGATCGCACCATCTACCACCGGGACGTTCGGCAGCCAGAACAATGGCTTCGCAAGCTTGTCGGCCACAAGCAAGAAGTCTGTGGGCTAAAATGGAACCAAGAAGACGGCCAGCTCGCATCCGGAGGCAACGACAACAAGCTCATGGTGTGGGAAAAGCTCAACGCAGAGCCTACCTTCAAGTGGAGTGAGCATCAAGCTGCCGTCAAAGCAATCGCTTGGAGTCCACATCAGCGAGGTCTCCTGGCTAGCGGTGGTGGTACAGCAGATCGAACAATCAAGTTCTGGAACACGCTCATATCCTCAAACGGCCCGTCAGCTTCAGCGCTTGCATCTGCATCAGCGGCTGCATCAGCAGCAGCGACCACCAACATTCCACTTTCACCGACAGCACCAGCAAACCTCATCAACAGTCTCGATACTGGTAGCCAAGTGTGCAACCTCGCATGGTCCAAGAACAGCAACGAAATCGTTTCCACCCATGGATACAGCCAAAACCAAATCATTGTTTGGAAGTACCCAAGCATGCAGCAAGTAGTTTCGCTTACCGGCCACACTTACCGTGTACTTTACCTGGCTATGAGTCCAGATGGTCAGGTGATTGTTACTGGCGCTGGTGACGAGACGCTTCGCTTCTGGAATGCTTTCAAGAAGAAGGAGCGCACTGGGGGCTTGAGTAGTATGGACAGTTGGGGCGTCATTCGCTGAACTGTTTCATCTGCTCTCGACTGTCCTTGCTAATCTTTTGTGGTAGGGCTGTTACCGAACCTCGCAGCAGCTTATCCAGACTCGACCCTATGAACAGTTCATATTCCGTTCAAGAGTCCAGCGCCGACGCATACGTGTAGAATATCACAGCCAGCTATCGCTGAATCTTCTGCCGAGACCGGTGCTTGCAGTCCATCCCCTTGCTTTCTATTTTGACTTTAGCGGCATCTGTACGGTTACGACCAAATTTTTTCGACATTTTCTCACGAGCATGGGCGGCGTTCCGGGCGTTTTTTTCGGTGGCTCGATACCACGGCATTATCGTTATCTCCAGACGGCGTTTGAAATGGTAGGGGTGCATTTTTGGAACCCTAGGTATTGGTGAAGAGGGGGATCCGTACCATCTAGAGGCGTCACGGGAAGGTCATCTAGGCACATCTGAAGGGGCCATTTTGTCTGCATTTGCTTCAATGAGCCTGGCTCTGGGCTGAAGCTGGAGTTCAAAGGCGTATTTTCCAGCGACTTGCCCTTGGGTTTGACGGCTCTGTGCTATTATGGACTCGACTCTCTTCATGATCATGATTGTACTATAGTAGCCTAGCAATATCATGAGAAGAATATTGTGGACTTGACTGTTACTTTGTTTGTACTTTATGTGAAAAGTGAAAGTCACTATGTGTAGCCTTGATGAAACGAATGATCGAATCAATGTTCATTACTATAAAAATAGACAATACCATTACCAAAACCTGTTCAACACACCTAACCGCACAGTCTGCAGCCACCCCGATCGGGATAACAATCATCCCCAGGATCACCCACGTAAGTCTGTCCCCACCCTCTTACTTACGCGTCGACCCCGCAATCTCACTACACATGACGTCCTCGACACAAATACCCGGTTCACAGTACGTCGGGCCACATGAGCCGGGTCTCAGCGGATTCGCAATGCAAGTTTGATCACAAGGACAGGCTGGGAAGAGACCGGCGCAGACGGGGCTTGTCGAGTGGCTGAGCTGCGCGGCAAGGGTTGTTGGTTAAGGGTAAAAGTTAATCACAAGACTGTAGTTTGTGTTAGTTACTAGTTCTCTGATCAAACTTTTTTCTTTTGGAGCTATTTGAAGATGAAAGTTGTTGTTGGAAGGAAGGAAAGTGGAAGGAGAATAATCTTACACTCAGCACTGGCTCTTCGCCGCCGCATTGCTGGTAACATTGCAATTTGGCATTGTTGGCGCAGTAGCATCCTTCAGGGAAGGATTGGATACAGATTATTTCTGGGCACTGGCATTTTGGTTCGGGGACAGGGTCTGGTTTTGCGGCTCGTGGTGGGCACTTCTGGTACTCGGGTAGTTCACCGCCGCATTTTTCGTAGCAGTTTTTCTTCGCGGTGTTGTTGCAGTAGCAGGAGTCGGGCCATGAGTCTAGGCAGAAGACTGGTTCGCAGACGCAGGTAGATGGGGCTGTAGGTGTGGGTGCTGCTGCTTCGTCTGCTGCGCGTGGTGTTACGCCTCGAGGAGGACAGGTATTGTATGTTGGAGGGCTTCCACCGCATTTTTCATAACATGCTTTTTTGGCGTCGTTGGCGCAGTAGCAGGAGTCGGGCCAGACTTGGGCGCAGACTACGGTCTCGCAAGTGCATACTCCGGATGCTGCTCGTGGATCGCGAGGTACCAGGGCCAGGACGCTACCCAAGAAGGGCAGAATGAGGAAAAGTAACTTCATATTCGAGATTAGTATTAGCGCGAAATTGCTTTTGGATGTGGGATGAGGGTAATGATTATACAGCGTCGCAAAGGCCCCTTCGTACCCGGCATTTATATATCAAAAGTGCAGACCACAGCCCTCAATATCGCACTTTTTTTTAATCAACAAAGCATCGGTGACATCCTTCTTACACGGCCCGCCAAGCTGACCTCCACAAGTTCCGATTGGTTTGGAGAAACTAAGTTTTGGACACTGCTCACGTCCCCGAAATTACCTTTTCGCGTGATGAACATCACATCTCGGCTTACCAGATTCACCGTCTTGGCAGGACTGCTTTGCGTACGTAGCTGAATTTGCCATGCTGCTTGGCAATTGAACACGCAGCATTTAGCAGACTTGGACAATGCTACGGTTCGTTGTAGGGATAATACGAGACATCCAACGGTTAATCTTACACAGACTCCCGCTCTCTCGTAAGCAGGTAAGCAGAGTCAACTAGCCAATAATTTACTTACTTCAGCAGTGTTTACATAGTAAATCGTTTGAAGAAAGGAGAATATAGCAGATAGTTCGTCGTCAAGTGACTATACCAAGACAGGTAAGCGATTTTGTGGATATGCGGCTGTGTTGGTTGCCGCAGTGGGGTTGCTGATCATGCAAGCAATATTTTCGGGTCCCAGAACCCCTATCCCCGGCCCTATACTACGTCCCAAGCCCCATTTATTCTGTCGTCAATTCGGCTGAACACCAATTCTTTGTTGGATATGGCTACTTACAGCATAGAATATGAGACCCTGTGCATGGGTATCTGTGAAACAACAACACAGGCTGGATGATTGTTCATTACGTACGTCTTCTGAGATTTTTACTCGCCGCTAGGCTTCGAGTTTTCAATGGTTCGATGGCCTGATGTCGTACCGTCACTAGTTGGGCTTACATGTTTTGTACTCTTGGCTATGAATGCAATGTAGTAGTAAGTCTTTTCAAGTCAGCTGTGCCAGACGCCTTGAAGCAGTCCAATGAGAACACGATAGGCAACGTATACAGTAGAACAATGTGAGCTTGCATGAGAGTCATCGAGTTCCATAGTGACTGAGAGCGCTGGTGCTAAGGTCAAGGTCCACTGTCCTCGCGTCGGTTTCCATCGGTTCCCATGCGTTGTGTAACACAACGGTTTTTGATGGGTGTTACACGACCCATATTGGCTGAACGCTCCTTGCTTGGCACAGCCCAGGTAAGATGGTCCGATGGAAGCAAAAAGAAAAAACATCAAGCTGAAAATGGCAATACTGTCTATTGCGATTCTGAGTGGAGTGGAAAAGAAATAGGAAAGTAAAGTGGTCAGGGACTCCAAAGAAATCTAGGTTTCAGATACACTATTCCGAGCTTTCCATGCAGTCACTTGTTGGTGAAGGGAACATCCAGTTCCGAAAAGATGCTCAGGTCCAAAGTCAACGCCAATGTGCCTCCCAGGGGTATATATCTCGAATGCAACCAAAAGTCCTCATATCTGGACATAATTCGTAAAAGTAACATCACCGATTGCGATCAACGTCTTCAGGTGGAGATCGTTGAAAACCAGTAGTGTTCCGAACAGCGTCGAATCCACGCCATACTACGGTAGAAACAGATGAAGCTAGCTCTCTCAGCGAAGAGACAGGACTTCGATATGAGTCATCCCCCGTCCAACCAGCCTCTATGTCGTCGGTTGGTCGGGGGCTAGTTTGTGCTGATCCTGGCGTCGGTACGGGTCGCGAAGCTGAAGGGGACGTGTCATGACTCTCAGCTGCTTGCGTCTGCACATGTTCACCGCCAGTAGGAGGCTGGGACGAGCGTGTTGGTGACGCTGACTGCAGTTGGTCATGGCGCCAACTCAATGAGCGTACGACATCGCCTTTGCAAATAGGACATGTCCTCCGACGAGTGACGAGCCAAGGAGTACTACATACGTCAAAATGATTCATGGACAAACAAATGATGGAAAACTTACATGCAATCCGCGTGAAACTCGTGGCCACACGGTAAACTCATGACTTGGCTGACGCCATCGACGTACTCTTCCAGGCAGACGACACATTCTTTCTGACGCCCGCCATAGCGCCGTCTCCAAGCCGCTAGCCCTGACTCGCGTTTCTCTTGTTCGCGACCACGGGGGCCAGGCTGTACGGACGATGAAGCGCCCGGGACATCAGAATCCGATGAAGAACGTGAACGAGAGTCGAGAGACCTAGGTCTAGAGGGCAGGGGTTGAAGTAGAGGGGTAGTTGGAGAATCTGCAGGCAGGCTTGCGGCAGAGGAAGAAGGAGAATCGCTGATGGTTTGATAAGTCCTGACAGGAAGACGCTCAACGACAGATTTGGGCGCCCGCCATCGGCGGCGTCGTATGCGAGATCGAAGAAGAAGCAACACATACACAACAGTCAAAGTAACCAGTGGGCTGACAACAAGCACAAGAAGAGTGTCAAAGAAAGGGCTGCTCGAGACATTCGTCGGAGTAAGCGTGACCCAAAGTTCTTTTTGTTGCGCTTGTGTATTGATGTACTCTTCGCTTGCAGACAACTCGTTTCCATCCGAAATGGCTGCCATAGATGTTGGAGTCGCTGCTTCCTGAGCTCCGTTCGCAGATGTCGGAGGAAGAATATTAGGAACACGCCAATCTTGCTCGCCGATAACAGCGCCGTCCGAAGTCTTTTCAGACATCGAAGAAGTAACCGTGGCCTTTGTCTTTATAAGATTATCGTCGTCTTCCAAACTCTCCATCTCCAGCCATTCAAGATTGCCACTACTTGGTGGTCGTCGGCTCCCAGCTTTGGGTGCGTTTTCACTGGAACCAACTCTAAACAAAGCCATGAGCGAGTGCAACCAGCCCGTTTGGGACGTGACAGCTGTTCCTTTGGTGGTCTTCGGGTTGTACTCTTTATCATGAGTTGCAGGCCTCGATTCCTTTGCGGGTTTTTGAGTATATCTTCGAGAATTTTGGGCAGCACCCGTGAGTACACGTTCGTTCGGCATGAGAGAAGATAATAGATGGGCGGTCGTATGCGACGTAAAGAGAGACGGGATAGTGATGTTGGAGGTATCTCCTTTGGCGTACATCCTGACGAGCGCGCCGCCGCGAACATCATCACCCACAATGACAGCTATCCCACCACGCGACTGTGCCCACTGCACTTTGGCCAAGAAACCACAGCCCCCTCGTTTGAGGAGCACAATCTTGCCTGTGATCTCTGCACTCTCTTGAATTGATTGGATATCAGCGTGAAGGCCTTCTGACTGTGCGTGCGCCTTGGAGCCATGGGGCTGCAAATGATCGTCTGTACCATCATCGGTCACGACGTCATCAGAGGAATCGCGTCCACTCTCGGAAACTCCATCCTTCGGGGTAACATCCTTGCCCAACATGGTGTTCCTGAGTTTGTTTCTGGTGTTTGCAGTCATCTGCGGAGTGGAAATAAATCCATCGCCGTCGTCGTGCCAGCCAGGCACATCGCTGCAGCCCAACTCGCCCTCCACACCTATGTTATCATCGTCGAAGCCGCTACCAATCCACAGAGCACCGCTCAATCCTTCTTTAGGCAGCAAAGGACCGAATGCGGCGGGTCGAGCGAGAAAGAAGGTCGAGTTATCGTCGGTCAGGCTAATAATGGCAGACGGCGGAAATAGCGAACCTGGTGAAGCAAACGAGAACAAGGCCTTGAAGCCGCCGGGACTTGAAGTGGATGATATACTCCCCTGCTCAGCATCTACAGAATTTCCCAAAACCATATACAGGACGATGGTGAAGGCCGCAAGGCTCGTAGAGAGCGACACTATCAGGCGCAGTGGTCGCATGCTTGCGGTAGTTGTCGGATAGACGCAAGCTCGGAGGAAAAAAAAGCAGCAGCACGCGCTGGAAATCTAGCAGAGGAAATTCATGGACTGATATAAGTCAACTGGGCGTGGTGTGATCTCTGTTGACTGTCACGAGGCGCAAGTTGAGGGTGGGGAGCGTGAACTACTGGATGACGCGGTACCAGCAGTGGCGGGGAGACTGGGCCACTTTGTGCAGTCGGGACCGGGAGAAGAATCAACGCACAAGGAAGAGAAAGAAAAAAGTGAACAGGAAGCGACACAGTGGATACGTGAAATATAGGCAAGGCGGCTAGCGAAGAGCCGAAAGGCACCGTTTGATGGATCGCAGGCGGATGCTAACAGCAGCCCAACATGATGTCGCAATGGATTGGGGAAGGCGCTAGGGGGATCGGTCACGGGCGCATGTGAAGATCACGCCCCTCAAGGCTAGAGCTTGAACCAACCAAAATGAAGATCCAAGACCAGTGCAACTAAACGTTCTACTTTTTCTTCTACTTTAGCTTATGTTTATAATTATGCATTATTGTATAACCAGCTAGATTTTTCAAAACATTTTCTTTGAGAATAACGCCGAGAAAAACTAGTACTTTACTCTCTTAGGATATCAAATTATCTTAGTACCACGAGAGCCTGAGTACTACATGGATGCAGCTTAATATGGATTATTCTTGCATCTAGCATGCATCTTGCAATAAATGTGTCACAATACTCGAAATTTAGCCCAGGAAGGGCAACTCTCGGAGACGCGTCGGGGACCCCTTCGGCCAGAAGGGCCATAGTCACGTGCGCAGAGTACATAGCTCCCATCCGAACCTCGGGCAACTCCACAAAAGTTCGGGTTAATTCAACTCTAACTGAGGTATTCATGGCTACCCGCGAAACACTTCAAGAAATGACTAATGATATGCTAGTGCTGTTGCAAGGCAAGGTTTGCTCGATGTTGAGTAAGCATTATGCGAATCATAATAGATCTTGGTTTCGGCATATCCAGCTGCAAACTACACCCACTGTCGTGAGTTTAGCTCCAACGCTTGCTGCGATATATTTGTGCGCAAAGCAAAGTTATGTGTTTTCCCTTTTGCTAATCGCTCTTACTGCAACACGTCATTAAACCTAATTATTAAGTATCGACGGCACATTTTTCGCATCATATGATAGTAAGCAGGGATGGAGCAACTGAGACGGATTATCAAGGCGATCACAGATACTCCCTAAATATTTCATCGAAGTACCCTAGAGCAATACAGCAAAATACAGAGCGTGGCGTCTTATTGGTGGCCGCTGTTCCTAATTCCAAAAGGCACACTACATCGCAAAGATGCGTTGTCGCACATGTCGCTGCGTTCGAGGCGGCAAATATCCACAGGCAATTGAGTTTGGAGATACAAACATACTTTACACGGATTTTGGTAACTCCGCATCATGCGGTCGAGTGCAGCATGTCGGTGTGTGATCAGTCAGTGCTGTGTTGTGCAATATATAACTGCTTCTCTTGCCTGCTTCTTCTATCTTAATCGTTTACACTATCAATGCCGTGTTACAAGTTTTTCAAGCAAATCAATTCGACATGCACCTTGCGATGAAAAAAGGTCAGAGCACTCTTTTGCTCTTGTCCATGGCGCACTACGTAGCAGCAAGCAAGTTGCAAGACAGAGGCATTGATCTACCTGTTGCCGAACACGTTATTCCTATTCGCGGTCTATCTTCTTCTTCTTCTTCTCAGCTCTCTGGCCGAGATCAACTTCTCTCAAGCAGGGACATAGCTGTTTCAGAGCACATTACTGGCTTGCGTAATGCCCGCGATATCTTTGGGGTCGACGTCCAGGTTGGAGACGAAGTGTCTACTCTCATTTTCAACACAGGAGTTCCGTTTACGTTGGTCTTTGCGCCAGGGTTTCAATGCTTAGACGTCGACGGGAACAAGTTGTAAGCCCACTAAGTCCCCTAAGTCCCCTAAGCTCCCTAAGCTGGCAGATACCTCTACGCACTACATCTGACTAATTACTATACAGCGCGTCGGGTGCGTGCCCATTCACTGCCCACGATACCGCCAGTTTCTCCGGAGGCAGGATCGATGGTCCAATTCTGAACCTTACCTATGGAGATGGAACTGGTGCTTCAGGCCCGCGAGGTTACGAGAAAGTCGGTTTGGCTGGTATTCATGTTGACCGACAGGAGATAGCCATTTGTGACCACGCCGTAGAACAAAATTGGACAACAAAGCCATTAGGTGGTTTCGCGGGTCTGTCACGCACTACTTAGAGTTTCTTTGATGCGTATACTAACTGTCTTTACTGTTCACAGGGTTCTCATTTCCAAATACCGATACTCAGAAGCTAAAGGCGAACTACTCATATGTGAGCATTCTACTCTTCAGAACCAGCAGTTGGCCTGCTTTGTTGACCTATATCATAGACACCGTGGATTTTCACTGCTTATGAGCAGGGTTTAATTAATCCGCCCGTTTTCTCTGTCGCTCTAAATCCTGTTTACAAGGACTTAGTCGACTTTGCCAACAATGGCGCGCTAGCTATCGGTGGCCTGCCACCTAACGTACCAACCACTGGATCATGGGCGATTACACCAGTGGTTAGCGATTTTGCGGACGAGGTGATACGATACTGGACCATAATACCGGATGGCTTTACAGTCAAGTCAAAAGAGTTAGTATTCCCAAAGAGTGCATTCAGGTTCCCTTTGAGCTAACTTGTTAAAAAAAGGAATCCTCTTGGCAAGTTTGTGCCATGGACTGAACAAGCGAAATACATTCCTGGACTTCGTCGATTGCAGGTTGTCACCAGTGTTTGGGGCGTTATCCTTCCAAAAGCATATGTCGACGAGATCTACAAATCCATTGATCCAGCCCCTTACCAAGCAAAGGACGGGAGTTGGGTGGCCAACTGCAATGTGCGTGTGTATAAATGAACGAAACCTAGGCGCTAACATAGATTTTAGGCAGCTTATGCGGGCGCGAGTGTACGGATTGGAGGTGTGGATCTTTTCCTCGATCGTGCCACAGTTATAACTTCACAGTTTGGAGATGATCTTGAACCGGGTCAGTGCTCCCTTGGTGTATATGCAGGTAGCTACTTCCTTGGAGCCAATTTTCTCAGGAGTGTTGTAGCAGTGCATGATATGACTAAAGGGAACGAAAGAATGCTATTTAAGCAGCGGGTGTTTCAAAACTAAGTTACGACAAAGTGGTTAAGAAAGGTTAGGTTCTAACAGCTATAATATAAAGAATCTCTACTATAACCAGGAGTTATAGTATATAATCATTATGTTAAACGTAAGTTCTCTATAATAGATAAATATAGTAATCTAGGATTTTATATAACTAGTAGTTAAACAATACGAAATCAAGAAAGCTTCTTTAATACTAAAAGTCAAAATCTTTTCTATAAATTAGAAGTTTAAAGAAAATTTCATTTGAATACAGGAGTAGTCTTTAGAATTAGTCCTTTGAATTTTGAAGTTACCTTTTTTTAGAAAGGGAGAGAGGGTTAAACTCTCATTCTTGCAAATTTCTTAGTATTGCGTCAAAAGAATTTTGGTATCTGGAAGAAAACCTACTGCGCCACCTCTTCTTATTAGACATAAACGATGTAAGAGTGCCCTTTCTTCGCCTTGTTTGAAACTGCCTTTAGGATGCCATCGTAGTATCAACATGGCTACTTACGCAGCAAGCGCCGCCTCCAAATCAGGTAGTGATTACAGGCACTTTGGACATACCTGCCGACTTCATTATTTATCGGTGGCCTTTTCTCCTCTAGTTCCTTTCCTGTTTCACTATTTAATCCCACCTCTCACTCGTCCAGTTCATCCTTCAACATCAACGCCAACCAACTTATACAATTATTTGCGATCCTTTCTTCTAGCTCTACTACTACTACACCTAGGTTATTAATTTAACGCCTTGCTAATTCCCTTTCCTCCCCAAAATTTCTTGAAAGCATACGCCTCACAGTCCCACAACCATGTCATCCGCCGCGACAAGATATTCAGTAGGCCCAACCTCCTCAGGAGAGCGACAACATAGCCTTCTGAGGCTTCCCGACAATATCCGCCACCTGCTGATCGCGTTTCTGGGTGAGCTAGTCGGCACATTTCTCTTTCTGTTCTTCGCCTTTGCCGGCACCCAAGTTGCAAACAATGTCCGAAAGATCAGCGGCAATTCAAACATGGATCTAGCGTCATTGATGTACATCTCTCTCGCCTTTGGGTTCTCACTAGCCGTCACTGTTTGGGTCTTCTTTCGCATCAGCGGAGGCTTGTTCAATCCTGCTGTACGTATCACCTTCTTGCTCTGAGCTGAGTCACGTCACTGACACTGCCTAGGTGACAGTCGCCTTGGCCCTTGCCGGAGCAATTGGGTTCATCAAAGCTTTGTTGCTTATCGTTGCACAGTTCCTCGGTGCCATTATCGCTGCAGCTATAGTCTCTGGGCTCTTCCCTGGACCTTTGGCCGTCGAAACAACCCTCAGTCCTGGGACCTCGGTGACAAGAGGCTTGTTTATGGAAATGTTCCTTACATTCATGCTTCTTCTTACCATATTCATGCTAGCGGCAGAGAAGCACAGAGCGACTTTCCTCGCCCCGCTTGTCATTGGGCTCGCGCTTTTCATTGCTGAGCTTGCCGGCGTATACTTCACTGGAGCCTCCTTAAATCCTGCTCGTTCCTTCGGGCCTGCTGTCATTACGGGTGTATGGCCTGGCCATCACTGGATCTACTGGCTTGGACCTTTGCTCGGCGCCTTGCTGGCAGTAGGCTTCTACAAGTTGCTCACGCTGCTCAATTACTCGACTGCGAACCCAGGTGCCGACAGCGATGGTCTTGAGAAGCACCGCAGCCACAGGGTGGACAGCAATGCAGCGCGTCACGACACTACTCACAACAGTATGTCACCAAAGTTATTTTTTGAAGTATGATCTGACCTCTCTACAGCTCGATATGCCGCTACCGATGGAACAGAAGAGCGAGATATTGCGGGCCAAGCACAACTTAGCGGAAGACAGCCTAGGCCTTCTGTTACATGGCCTTCAGTGCCGACTTTAGCATACATGCAGGCGCTCGATGGCCATCATTCTGAGACGATCGACCATCCCAATGACCGCCCGCGTGCGCATTACACGCATAGCTCTTCAGGTTGCGAGATATCATCAGATTCGAGCTATCGCAGCGGCCCAAGTGCAGAGTCTGGCAGCTTGGGATCGTAGACTGGCTCGTCAGCTAGCTCAAGTTCACGATATCATCGGTCGCCGAGCGCACCAGATGACGAGTCATCGAAGAAGGGGAGCATCCTCGACGACGTGCTGTATTCGGCATGTTGTTACCTACCATATTTTATACTTCAGTCTTGCTTCTGTCCACACAAGTAGGTGAAAATCAGTAGGGAAAGCTGTTTTGATAGCCTAGTGGGTGTTGGAAGGGTGTGGGATTGTGTCTGGTCCGTTGTATGGTGCAAGCTCTCTAACGCCTTTCCTCATGTCAGTTTCCTACGGCATTGTAGAGTAGGAAATGACACAATTTCTTCCAAGAAGGATGCTCTGTTGGTTGCTTCGATAATTTAGAGAGTTATGCTCCCAGATTTTTTTTCTCATTGTCTGTTCAAATGTAGTGTGAGGACCAAAATTCGATGACAATGCTAAAGAGAAAGTTCACACCCCGAAGGTGTGGGAATATCCGCCAAGCCAATCAACGTCCCAATATGGATTAGCGCGACGCGTCGACGCGTTCCCTATCGCCCCAGAGTCCGGCAGTTCATGAATACCGCCATCTCACTGCCGTTGCCATTGCTCTCCTCAACACTTGCCATAGTACAAGCAAAATGGCTCGCGGTGTCGAAGGAAACGAAATGTCAACGCCCCGCCCATCCCAAAAGAAGCAACCTTCCTCAGTCTCCCAGTCAGGGAAGGGCCAGAAATCCATTCTCGGCTTCTTCCAGAAGAAAACTACCAATTCACCAAGCCCCGCACCGTCTGATGTCACACCGGACCAAAAAACGCCCACTTCCAAAATCGCCTCCAAGGCCTTTACAAAGCCTTCTGCTGCCATCACGCCGGTTCCCAGCAGCGATGCTCCAGACCACTCAAGTCCTATCAAACAAGACCAAGAGCTCACAGTAGGGCGGAACAAGGAGAATGGTTCGTCTTTGCTTGTCAGACAGCTATGTTCATTCACTGAGCAATATTTCCAGAAATAGCAGATGTTACTCCTAGTAGCCCAACACGTAAAGTATGCCGACACGCCATTGTATGCTCAATATACATTATCCTAACTTTCACGGTAGGCTAGAAAACCCGTCAATTACGCCGAATCCGACGATGAAGATGACGATGTACTCGGACCTATCGCAAACAATGCGAGGGGTCGGGCTACAAAGCGCCAGCGAATGGTTGTCGACGACGATTCCGACGATGAGTTTGGTTTGGACGCTGCCACGCAGAGAGCAATGCTGGAAGAGGAAGAGGAAGACGATGATGTTGATGATTTCATCGTACCCGATGATTCTGAAGAAGAAGTCGTATCGAAGAAGCGCAAACGCCCAACATCTACAAAGCCACGCACCAAAGCCTCACCGGCATCATCACCACCACCTATTGTCAATGACAATGATGTCGAGGATGAAGCAGACATCGTAATGAATAGCACATCTACAGCACAACAATGGATATACGATCCCGAGAATCCCACGGTATTCAAGCCACGAAAAGCGGTTCCTTCTTTGAAGAAAGAACTAAGCGTAAGAGCCAAAGCGAAGCCCTCTGCTTCAGAACCTGAGGCAAGATACCCATGGCTAGCGAACATGCAAGACGCCGACCGCCATCCACCCGACCATCCTGACTACGATCCCCGTACCTTGTTCATCCCGCCAGCTGCCTGGCGTGAATTTTCGCCTTTTGAAAAGCAGTACTGGGAGATCAAGAGCAAGTGGTGGGACACTATAGTTTTCTTCAAGAAAGGAAAGTTTTACGAGCTCTACGAGAAAGATGCATCGATCGGCCACCAGCTCTTTGATCTCAAGCTGACTGATCGTGTCAACATGAGGATGGTGGGTGTTCCAGAAGCCTCGTTGGATATGTGGGCAACACAGTTTGTGGCGGCTGGCTACAAAGTCGCTAGGGTTGACCAGATGGAATCCGCTTTGGGCAAAGAGATGCGCGAACGTGACGATAAGGGCAAAACTCCAAAGAAAGCTGAGAAGAAAGGCAAGGAAGTCATTCGCCGAGAACTGGCCACTGTTCTAACATCAGGTACCCTTGTGGACACTGGCATGCTCCAGAGCGAAATGTCGACTTACTGCATGGCGATCAAAGAGATTGACCGTGACAATTTGCCCGCTTTCGGAATTGCGTTTGTTGACACTGCGACGGCGCAGTTTCAGCTTTGTGAGTTTACAGATGACATTGACATGACCAAATTCGAAACTCTCATTGCGCAAATGAGGCCCGGCGAGTTGCTCTTAGAAAAGTCGTGTGTTTCAGCAAAGGCGCTTCGTATTCTGAAGAACAACACTGGACCAACCACCATCTGGAACTGGCTGAAGCTGAACAAAGAATTCTGGCCAGCCGATATCACGATCCGAGAAATCGAAGTCAACAGTTACTTCGAGTCGCCAACAGAAGATAACATCGAAGCCTGGCCACCGGTGCTTCGCGAAGCCCGCGAAAAAGAACTTGTCATGTCCGCATTCGGTGCCCTCCTCCAGTATCTGCGAACATTGATGATTGAGCGCGATCTTGTTACGCTCGGCAACTTCCAGTGGTACGATCCCATTCGCAAAGCGACAAGCTTGGTGCTCGACGGACAGAGCTTGATCAATCTGGAAATCTTTGCAAATACGTTTGATGGAGCGACAGAGGGCACATTGTTCGCTATGTTGAATCGCTGCATCACACCGTTTGGCAAGCGACTACTCCGACAATGGGTTTGTCATCCACTGGCAGACGCACAAAAGATCAACGCTCGCCTTGACGCTGTAGATGCGCTGAATAAGGACTCAGCCATTATGGAGAACTTCAGCGGCTCACTGAGTAAGCTCCCAGATCTTGAGCGTCTTATCTCCCGCGTGCACGCTGGCCGGTGCAAGGCACAAGACTTCCTGAAGGTCTTGGAAGGTTTCGAGCAGATTGAGTACACCATCAGTTTGCTGAAGCAGTTCAGCGAAGGAGAGGGCGTCATTGGCCAGCTCATCTCATCGATGCCGGATCTAGCTGCATGTCTCGAGAAGTGGAAGTCTGCTTTTGACCGTGAAGCAGCCAGGAAAGATGGAATTCTGATCCCTGAAGCTGGTGTTGAGGAAGACTATGATAATAGTCAGGCGGATATTGATAGTTGCGAGGCCAATCTCGAGGCGCTGTTGAAGAAGGTGCGCAAAGAACAGGGCTCGAATGCAATCATCTACAATCACCTCGGAAAAGAGATTTATCAACTGGAAGTGCCGAAGAAGGTCAAGGTGCCCAATAGCTGGGATCAAATGTCGGCCACAGCCAAGGTCACTCGCTATTACACGCCCGAGTTGCGGAAGCTGGTGCGAGCATTGCAAGAAGCGCAAGAGACTCATGGTCAAATCACTCGCGAGGTTGCCACTCGCTTCTGCCAGCGCTTTGACGAGGACTACAAGATTTGGCTTGCAGCAGTCAAGATCATTGCTCAGCTCGACTGCCTCATTAGTCTTGCAAAGGCATCTGCGTCGCTGGGAGAGCCAAGTTGCCGACCCGTCTTCGTGGAGGGCGAACGAACCATTGTTGAGTTCGAGGAGCTTCGCCACCCGTGCATGCTCAACACAGTCGATGACTTTATCCCCAATGATATTAAGCTGGGCGGTGACGCGGCCAACATTAGCCTGCTCACGGGTGCCAACGCAGCTGGTAAATCAACCATCCTGCGTATGACATGCATAGCTGTTATCCTCGCCCAAGTGGGTTGCTACTTGCCGTGTACATCGGCCAGACTCACACCCGTCGACCGCATCATGTCTCGTCTAGGCGCCAACGACAACATCTTCGCAGCACAATCCACCTTCTTCGTAGAACTGTCTGAAACACAAAAGATTCTGTCAGAAGCAACATCACGATCGTTGGTCATCCTGGACGAACTGGGCCGTGGCACCTCATCCTACGACGGCGTAGCAGTCGCACAGGCTGTGCTACACGATGTTGCAACGAGGGTGGGCTGCGTGGGCTTCTTCGCTACGCATTACCGGTCGCTCGCCAAGGAGTTTGAATTCCACCCCGAAGTCCAGAATAAGCGGATGCGTATCCATGTTGATGATGAGTCTAAATCGATTACCTTCTTGTACAAACTTGAAGAGGGCGTTGCAGAGGGCAGCTTTGGTATGCATTGCGCTGCCATGTGTGGTATCCCAAGCAAGGTCATTGAGAATGCGGAGAAGGCGGCCAAGGAGTGGGAGCATACGAGTAGGCTGGGTGAGAGGATGGAGGTGAAGAAGGATGAGGGTGGTGTGTATGTGCCACTGGGTTTGCAGAGTGATGTTGCGTGGGCGTTGCGAGAAGGGTTGGAAGGAGTGGGAGAACGAGCGATGGATGTGCTGCTCGAAGCTATTGCTGCGCTTTGAGTTGTGAGAGGAGTTTGTTAATTTCGTGTAAGATGGAGCAAGCGGGCGTCATGTAGTGTCAAGGTGATGGGTGGGTTGTACATGTAAATTGTGGGTTGTATTTTTAGCGATTGAGCATTTCTTCCTCTTCTATGGGTTAGTAGATAAATCAAGGCAAGGATGTTTGGTGTGCATTAGACATGCATCATCGTCGTATTAGCGACACCTTGTAGTAGTGCGTCACTAGAATGATATCTATACTGGATATATTCACTTCCTTGTGCAACAAGGGTATGAAGCATCTTCTACCTAACCCACCTCCATCCTCCCATGATGCTCCTCAAACACAATGCCTGAAGAATTCCTCCCTCCGTATCCCTCATACTACCCCGTCTTTGTTCGTGGTTGCAAGTAAACAGACTTGCATGAGAGAACTTCAGTTCCCACCACTACTGCGAACAGCATACGTCTCGATTCCACTCAAAAACCCATAATCCTCCATCTCCTCCTCCTTCTTGACACCAGGGACGTCGCACTCAATGAGCTCGTCGTCATCCTCGACATCGTCCTCCTCGCGCATCGGCATCTTGCCATTCTTGCTGGGCGTCGCATCTGCCGCTGCGGCAGTGTTCTTGCGCTTGCGGGGTGTAGAGGTGGGGGTAGCAGCTTTCTTCTTGGGCGTGGACTTGGAGGGTGTGCCGGGCATGCTGGGCGTGTCTTGGAGAGACTGGCCGAGGAGCTTGAGTTTGGATTTGATCTTGCCGAAAGTGACGCTGGCACTCGCGGTAGTGTAGCCGGCGAGGGAGCCGAGTTTGACCATGTCGATCTGGGGTTGTGTCAGTGAATTGCAGGGAGGGATGGAGGTATGTACCTTGGGCTGGGTTTCCATGCACTGCCATGCGAGGGCGAGGACTTCCATCTCGCGCGGAGAGAAGCCGACTTCTTTGGAGTTGGAGGGTGCCATGGTTAGCAGTGTTGATGGTGGTGTTGGTGTTGGTGTTGTCTTGTAGATGTCACGAAGGTTCTAGGTAGAGGAGATGTTGTACGAAAGTAGTGGAAGGTTTAGGCAAGTGAATGAAGAGGGCGATAAAGTCTTTATATGCTGATGCACAGGACGCTAACGAGTCACCAAGTGAGAGGTGAGGCTGAATTAAGCGTGCTTAGTACTCACAGTAAGAGCGTGCAGGAAAACCTAAAGAGGGCTAAAGAGGCACGTTCACCTCACTTTTACGCATGTTTGTCAGGCAGCGAGGAACTATGTAGAAGAGTGAGAGTGATTGATTAGCAGCACGCAAGATGATTCCGGGTATGTATGGAACAGTGATTTTATTTTATCGTCGCAAGTGCAATTTGCACTGCATGCCATGTGGCATAGTAATGTTGTTATATTCGGCGAACCTCTTTGCCTTGAAGCTCCGGTCTCTGCACGTCAAGCTCATCTCTTAGAGCTGCATACAAGGAGTCACCCAGGATGATGGAAAGGCCCAAACTCCAGACCAAGGTGATGGCATAAAAGAAGTTGGCATTACCCGAACCGGCATATACCCACAGATGGTAGAATGCAGGGCCAAGGAATGATGTGTAGAGAATACTGGCTGATGCAAGGAAAGTGTAACGCATGACTAGGGTTCAGTCAGTATGATGGGCACGTGTCATGTGGAGTAAGATACTTACGAGGGAACAAATGTCGGAACATAGGCACCAAGGACAGATACAAGGCAGCATCGGCTATGCTTGGGTATGGGGTGAAGATGGCAAAAACTCCTGTCAATGAGCAAGCAACAAACAAGGGCTGCTTATGGAGGCGGATAGTCAAGCCTGGCATGTACGAGGCGGCATGTAGCCAGAAGACGCCTAGGAAGAACTCGCGGAAAGAGTCAAACATTTCAATGAAAAAGTACCACCAGAGACCAACATTGGGAGTCAGATCTGGTAGCAAAAGACGCACACCATACGTGGCAGCCAAAAAGTCCCATGAGCCGGTCAAGAAAGCAGAGCCAACCAGTAAGGCGCCAATTGCGATTGCGAGACCGAATGTGTGTACGATGACAAACGTGGGGATATTTGGGGTCGACTTTTTCTTGAGGGCTTTTGCATCGTACAGCAGGACCATCAGGGGCGGGAAGAGCAGAACGGGATGCATGGCAAGGTACGAGGCAAAGGCCGTGGCCAGAATGAATGTAAAGCTGGCGCCCCGAGAAGCCTTTGCCATGGCAGTGAGGACGAAAAGATTGGTCAGGGCTGAGGTTGAGCGGGCAAGACATGTTGCGACGGTAAAGGGATTGAATAAGAAACTGATGGATATGTCAGCACAGGGGCCGTGAAGGGGAGGCATAGGCAGTACCCAACTGCAATGGCAGCACTACTCCACCTCAGGTCCTTGCGCGGGGAAGCAAATAGTCGCGTGACCGAGGCGAAGCCCGTGTCTGCCAGCTGGGCTAATGAATGCGCGCTCAGCAGGTCGACAAGGGTGAAAAAGACGTAGGTCGCAAGAGGGGCTACGGCGGGATGGGACAGCAGGGCAAAGAGCGGCAGCAGGAGGGGCGCCTGGTGGTAGACGCCGCCATCGTAGGGCGATACATTATGCGTGTAGAGGAAGAGGCCTTCTTGGACTATGTGGTGTTAGCAATGGCAGAGGGATGTTGAGGTATACATGGCAGGACATACGCCGCTTGAAGCTTGTCACCGGGGTAGAGACCTCGACGCGGCCGGCCAGGACGTCGGGCAGGGTGGGGAAGAGGGTGAAGAGGGGCAGACGAACGGCAGCAGCAGCGCCGAAGAGCAGCAGGCGGTGCTGGCTGTCAATGGCCATGGCTTGAGTCGCAGCCGACGTGGTGTTGTGGCAGGATATCCATCCATCCACATATGTCGTCGGTAGTAGGATGCATGGCGGCGGGCCCTTGTCGCCGCTAACGCCGCAATCCCTGTCTACTAGCCGCTGCATCTCGAACTTTTTTGCGCCCGCCCAAAAGTTGCTCGCCTGGCACCGACACAAACTGCGATAACTTCACAACCACTGCGACTCATTATGGCCGGGCGCAGCAAAAAGAAGGGTTAGTATCTGCCATTGTCGCTTGATTGAAGAAACGAAGATGCTGACTCAACCCACACAGGCACCTCCGGGGCCGCCAAAAACTACATCACTCGCACGCGCGCCGTCAAGAAGCTCCAGATTTCCCTTCCAGATTTCCGCCGGCTATGTATCTTCAAGGGCATCTACCCCCGTGAGCCGCGCAATAAGAAAAAGGTCTCGCGCGGCTCCACAGCTGCTACCACCTTCTACTACACAAAGGACATCCAGTACTTGCTCCATGAGCCGCTGCTGGCAAAGTTCCGCGAGCACAAGGCTGTCGCAAAGAAGATTGGCCGCGCCCTCGGCCGTGGCGAAGCCGGCGATGCCTCGCGCCTCGAGAAGAACCTTATGCCCAAGGTCAAGCTTGACCACATCATCAAGGAGCGATACCCCACCTTTGTCGACGCCCTGCGCGACCTCGACGACGCTCTGTCCATGCTGTGCCTCTTCGCCAACTTGCCCTCGAGCGACCACATTCCCGCAAAGACAATTGCCCTTTGCCAGCGCCTAACACGCGAATTTGAGCACTACGTAATCACTTCGCACTCGCTGCGGAAGTCGTTCCTGTCTATCAAGGGTATCTACTACCAGGCTACCATCCAGGGCCAGGACATTATGTGGCTCGTTCCCTACCGCTTTGTCCAGCGCACTGGAGGAGATATTGACTTCCGTATCATGGGTACCTTTGTCGAGTTCTACACTACCCTCCTCGGCTTCGTCAACTACCGCCTATACACCTCCGTCGGCCTCGTCTACCCACCAAAGTTCAATGCCAAGAGCGACGAGCAAGGTGGCGAGCTGTCTGCCTTCCAGCTCGAAGGCAAGGTCAATGCCACAAACGGCACCGCCAATGGTCATGCCGAGCGTGCAGACATCAACCCAGAGGCACAGGCAATCGCCGACAAGCTTGCTGCCATGCCCGACGATGAGGATGCTCAAGAATCAACAGCCCTAGCCAAACGCAGTGAAGACGATGAGGAGGAGGCCAACGATGAGATTGACAAGTTCGAGCCAACTGCGCCTGACGCCGATATTCTGCCCCAGCCGCAAGCAAGCAGTGCCGAGGTTGCTTCGCTGTTCGCTCCCTTTACCTTTTACCTCTCGCGAGAGACACCCAGAGCGCCGCTCGAGTTTATCCTCAAGGCCTTTGGTTGTAAGCGCGTTGGTTGGGACGGCACTCTCGGCGACGGCGCATTCACCACCAACGAATCCGATCCCAACATCACACATCAGATTGTTGACCGACCAGCGTTATCAAACGGAGCGTCTGCACAAGACAGCAAGAATGGCGACGCTTCTGCCCCTAAGGCCCAATGGCCCTATTCCATGATGCCTGGTCGCACCTATGTCCAGCCGCAATGGGTCTGGGACTGCATCAACCAGAGCAAGCTGCTGCGCCCCGACCACTACGCCCCCGGTGCCGATCTACCCCCGCATCTGAGCCCATGGGTGAAGCCCAAGAAGGGCGAGTACGACCCCAACTTGCCTCTTGCAGCCCAGCAGCCCGAAGGCGAGGCCGAGGCATTCGAAGACGAGGATGAAGAAGAAGATGCCGCCGTGGATTCAGATGGTGACGAAAACATGGATGCCATTGTCGACCGTGACGGTTCTGTTGAGATTGGAGAGGGCATGGATGTGGCCGATTCTGAAGACGACAGCGATGACGACTCGGACGATGATGCCGGCGCTGCTGACGACTTTGACGGCTTCGACTCAGATGCCGAGTCGGACATTTCCGAGGGCGAGGCTGCCCGTCTTCAACACCAACGTGAACTTGAGGCTGAAGCGCTAGGTAAGAAACTCGAGGTCAAGAAACCAACAAAGAAGGAGGAGAATGCGGCCATCCGCAAAAAGGCCGAGAAGAAGAAGCGTGAGCAAGAGGAAGAGCGCGAGAGGCAAAAGATGATGTTGTCAAACAAGAAGCGCAAGCTGTTGAAGCGCATTGAGTACGGCGAGAACAAGCGCGATAATGAATCCGAGAACCTGCGCAGGAAGCGCGCGAGGGTTGAAAAGGCCAAGGCAGCTGCGGAGGCACTGTAGGCGTATGCATATCTACATGACAGCAAAAGCAGGGCAGGTTGGCGTTGATTGGGACGGTGTTGTAGGCGCTCTACGTATTTCAAGTACTCTATGTAGTCGATTTAAAATACCACCATATGACTGTTGTCTACGGTTGTTATCGTCTGCATGTTGACTTGAGATAGTTGGGAACGCCATTTCTATGCAGCGCACAGACCATTTTGCCAAAGGGCGCAGTTCGTTCGTAACCCAGACATGCGATCACTAGACGCCTGATGAGTCAAACTATCAAGAGCTGTGATATCTATAAGTGCATGCCCTTTGTATCGTCTTGGTTCTTCCTCTAATTACTACCTAGCCCATACTACCCGAATCAACAACATGTAGTAGTCTCAAAGTTCGCGAATCACTTACACCATAGCTATACCCTGTCAAACCGCATCCACCCTGAACCCTGAACGAACCAAGGTTCACATATATCAGTACCATGTAGCTCTCTACTTGATGTGCAGCATCTCTGCATGGCAGCGACCAGATAACACAACTCTCTTCTGTGCTCTCGGCCAACAAAAAAATTGCCGTATGCAAAAAGTGTCGGTATATTAAAGAGCCGCGTCACTCGTCAAACGCGCATAGTACAGTCGAGCTCCACCATCGTCGCCGCTTCCTAAAACCGCAAGGTGCCGAGCCGCTGCCGGGGGGAACCACTCCGGAAAAATTGCTCAACAACAAATTTTCTAGACTGCATTTTGCAGTTTCAAACATATTCACTCTCAGAGGTACATGAGATATCCTTCAGACATGCCAGAAATGCTGCTGACATTTTGTGAGCCGTGCGGCTTCTTCCTGTATTCACCCCGGGCAACAGGCAACTCCGTCACGTGATTGGTCACTCACCGCACGGCTATTGTTGTATACAACGAACAATAGGTTGTACTCGAACTGTTCATCTTGGAATAATCCTACGAGTTTCAAGTCCAGACAACCGGCGCGAGTTTCGTAGTCCGCACTATCAACTCGACAATTCGCCTCACACTTTCCATCCTCACCAAACCGCCTTTTTACTTCCAAGGAGAACGTAATCGACATAAACAAAAAAATGCCTTCAACACCCCAACCACTCTTCCCGGATCTTCCCCCCGAACTCCGCAACGAAATCTACACCTACCTCTCTTCCCCAAGCCCAGATTCTCAAACTCTAAATTCGCACCTCCCCCTCCCCCTCAAAACCTTCACCTGCAAACACACAACCATGCACCTCTGCCCCACCCATCACGGCTCCACCAGCCTGCTCTCCCTGTCATCCCCAGAAGCCCACGAATACGGCTCGTGGCTCCTCAACAACGGAATCGCCCTCCACATAACCATTCACTTCAAAGGCCGCATAAACACCTTTACGCTACTCCACTGGTCCAAAAAGATATCCACTCACTTGCACAAACTGGCGCGCCGTCACCCTTGGTTAGCCAAAGTGGCACGGTACGAGATAGATGTGATGTGGGATCCGCTCGACGGCGCACTCCAGAGTCGACACCAGAAACAGCGAGCAGCGCATGTACCGCTGGATATGGCTGAGGCGCTTACGCAGCTTATGCAGAGGGATGTTAGGGCTAAGCAGGGGAGTGTGGTGCTACGGGTGCATTTTGAGCAGAGATTTGCGGTGCTGAACGCGCTTGCGGCGAGGAAGTTTGGGGTTGGGGTTTTTCTGAGGGATGGAGAGAGGTTGAGGGGATTTAGGAGAGTGGTGAGGGAGGTGCGGATAGTGCCGTCCAAGGTTGGACTGGAGAGGGACATGGGAGATGCGCCTGCGCCTGGGTTGCGGGTTGTGCCACCGGCGGGACCGGAGGAGGAGGCGCTCATGGTCGTGGAGGAGGGAGTGATGAAGTTGTCGGAGCGGACGCGGGGGCAGATGGTTGTGAGGAGGCGGACGAGCGGTGTGGCGGATGGAGTGTGGGAGTATGGGAGGGGGGAGATGGAATTTCCCGTTTGTCAGATATTGGAAGAGTGTATGGAGTGAGGAAATGGTTTGGCTTGAGATTCAATTACCCCTAAAAACGGCGATTTTATCGAAATATTGATAGTGCTTCATGGTAAATACACTGTTTCTTTTCGTTCAAGAGATAACGCAGCAAGCCAGATTGTCCTGTACACCATTCCATCAACACACATCCCCACCAACCTTACTACCCTCATCCTATTCCTTCCCCTCTCCATCCTCATTCTACCCCCAACATCCCCCACACCAACACCTTACGCCCAAGCTCCCACCAAGCTCATCAAAAACGCGCCGACAAACACCAACAAACAAGCATACACCCTGCGCTTGCCCCTAAGCACCTTCCAACTCTCATCGCTCAGGAAATCCTCCGACATGAGTTCAACCAGCGACGCATAAACCAGGAAACCCGCAGATATAGCATTCATGATGCCAACCACAAGAAGTCCAATTTCCGAGTCGGGCGAGTAAAGCGTGTGGGTTGCGATACCAATGGCCATTCCACCTGGTGTGCTGTAGTATTTTTTAGTATATGGAAGTCGGAAGGGGAGGTGACTGGGTGGGGGGAGAAGACTTACGTGCAACCGTATGCGAGAGCCATGAGCCAGGGCTGGATAGATTTGGGGCCCCATTTGATATCTGCGATGCGGACGCCGAGGGCAAGGCCTTCGAATGTTTCTGTGGTGCGGTGGTTAGCAATGGTGGTCATGGTTGGCCGACGTATAGACTTACGGTGGAATACAATGGCGATGAGCAGGACGGTAAAATCGTTGCCTACGGAGACGGCGAGGGACATGCCGATGAAGATGCTGTGGAATAGAATACCCATTTCCAGGAGAAAGACTTGCATGACGGCTTTGCGGTGAATTTGCTCGGGTGAGAGGATATGCTCGTGGTCGCCGCTTTCATGGTCAGGTTGAGGAGTATATTCAGTACTTTCCACCTTTTTGAGTTCAACTGGCGCTTCGCCGATTTCTGATCCGCCGGCGGATTCAATGGCATCGAGTCTTTGGCCATCTTCGCGGTAGCGGGACAACGTTCTACTGATGCTCCCGACTCTGCCCTTCAACGTACCAAGATCACGGACGCGCATGCTTGATTCCGAGTAGGTTCGCTCTAGCCCCATCTGCGGCGGAGTAGGCTGCTCTTCCATCTCTGCGTCAGGCATCTCCGCATCAGGCGCCTTTTTCGGACGCGAGACGGCTGCTACGCCCTCATTACCACCGCAGACATGGCGAGCAGGGGAAAATGTCATTTCAATCAAGGTGACGAAGAAAACGCTAGCTAGCATAATGGCGCCGGGCATGGCCTGATAGTCTGTAGTCCAGAAACTAGACAGGCAAGGGTCGCCCAGCGAACCAAAGGCCGTGGGAAGCAGATGCACAAAGGCGGTTGCGACGAGGACACCGGTACCAAAGTGCTTAGCGCCGAAGAGAAAAGATGGAGGAATGCGCAGACGAGGAAACTTGAGCACGAGCATGGGAAAGGCACAGCCTGTTCCCGATACAAAGAGAATAATGAAAAGACCGCCAACATGGAGGGCGAGGTCGTATTCCGGGTGCGCCTTGCCATTCTCACAAGTGCTTCGTCTTGGAAGCCGTTGGAAGGGGGCATCTGGACAAACAAGTTAGCAGACAAATGGTGGCGTGAGAATTTCCAACTTTACCCTGAGATACGACAAACTTGGGCGCGGTCAAGTTGCCGCTGGCATAAGAAATGAAGATTGAAGTACAAAGTACGGAGACCAGCCATTTGGCCCAACCGACGACAATGTCGGTGAGGCTAGCTTGGCACTTGGTCAAATGCGTGGTTGTTCGGGTGCAAGGTCCTACAGCCGTGAAAAAAAAGTAACTCGTGTCAGCGCGGTGTACTCATTTTCTGGATTCAAACGTTTGAGAAGAAGAAGAAGTAGAAGAAGAAAACATACCTTTTGAGGACCCTTTGACACCCCCGCCCATGGCGATGGCTTTGTCCTTGTCTATTTCTTGGCCATTGAAATGGTCGACTTGGCAGGCTCGCAAGTTGCGTGAGGTGCACAGCTGATCTGCTTCACCCAGCTCCCGTGCGTTGGCGATGCCGTTGAGATCAGCGCACGTTGTAAGATCAGCGGCGAAGCGTGGTGGGTTCTGGTTCCATCCGGGGTGCCAGAGGATATCGTCGTCTGTTCTGGACGGGCAGTTCATGTCTGCAGCGGAATACAGGAAAGGGTAAGTAAGTAGTAGCTGCGGCTTAATTTCAGAATCGACAAGCAGGAATGAAGGATTTTGGGCGTGGTTGACGTGTCGGTCTGCTGTTCCGAGTCGAGGGATCAAAGGCAAGCAAAATTTCCAGGAATGACGAGGTGTCGTGTGTACGATAACTACAATACGACGGTGATGGGGAATTGTTCGGGCTATATGACATGGGGAGGACCAGTCGATTGACGGCTAGCGGCTCTTCCGTCTCGTCATCGTCCAACCACGCGACAGTTGCCCTGGCCGCCAAGGCACTCGACCCCGGAGTTTGACTACCAGCGCCACATGCAGACAGCCACACGGGTGCTCCGTTTTGACATGATGATGATGACGACGATACTGGTCAGACTCCAGATGTGCTTCGCTGCTTTTGCTGGGAAACGTTTGTTTCACTGCAACATGGCAGTAGAGCAGCCGACAGTTTGTTCATCGGCTAAAACGGCTTCTGATCGATACATGACGATGCGCGGCCGGTGGGCCATTATTCAAAAAAACATCAGGTCCGAGGTTTCCCGACAGCCGCGAGGAAAAGTACCAAGACGAGAACGATCAGGCCAGACGAACGTCAGATGCGTTGCTCTCACATGCTGATCCCATCTCATGCCGTTTTAGAAAGGCCAGGCCATCGGCTGAGTCATTACAGCACCGCCAGCATGACCACCTGCAACAACGCAATCTGGCTTCATTTCCATGGACCTGTCAATTCGACACTGGACTAATGTCTGCAATAAGATTCACCTAGTCTCTGCCTTGAGGCTCTCGCGTCCCCCGCCCAGCGCATGTTGAAGCGCCTTTACATAATTTCTCCTTGGCTACATACTATGGGTATCGAACCACCACTCACTGCGCCCTCTCCGTCTCCAATACTTCAAGCGCACCTCCCACTAGATGCAAGCTGCCAGTAACCAAAACCATGACTTCTGCATCAGCTCCTGCATTCGCTGCATATTCGCGCGCTACGCTCCTTGCTGTGGCTACTGCCTCTTGGATGGTACGCAGTACATGCACTTTTGCTGTGCTATCAATCTCCGACCATGTCGCCGCAAGCGCCTTCTGCACAGCCAGTGTGTCCACATCTTTCTGGTTGGTATTGATGGCGACAAGGTCCGGCTTGTAGCCCTCGCTGAATGTCTGGTTCGTGGTGAAAATGACATGAGTAAAGGGCGACGTCGAGCCTGTAGTCATGCCGCTCTGCAGAGTTGCATACAAGGCCTTTGCTAGCGCACTTGCATCTCGAGTTTGTTGGTTGAAGATGAGTATCCGAGGTACCTTTGGGTCGGACACGGCTGTCGAAGTTGCAGCTCTTATTTGCTCTGCAAACCATTGGCCAGTCACCTCAATGCTCTCCATGGTATGTCCTCCATCGATATGCCATGCCACATTGGGTTCACGTCGTACCTCACACCTACCTGCCCAATGTGCCTGCTCTAGACCGCGAACAAACTCAACGGGGAGCTCAATGTGGGGAACAGCCGTGGGGTCTGGAATGGACGAGTGCCCGAGCGCGCGCAGATGAGCGGCCGCGGCTGCAATGGCTACTGATGCGTTGATCTTTTGAAATGCTGCGCCCAGCCCTAATTTAATTTCGTCCTTTGCCAGCGCCGGGTGCACGTCAACGACAATCAGCTTTTCGCCCTTTTCTGCTGCTCGTTCATGAAGCACAGTCATGGCCTCGTCCTTTTGGCGCGCCGTAATTGCGACACTGCTCGGTTTGAAGATGCCAGCTTTGTGCCACGCGATTTCTGGCAGCGTGGAACCGAGCATTGCCGTATGGTCTATGCCCAGGCTGGTGACGGCCGTAACCGTGGGTTTGGTCAGAATATTAGTGCTATCAAACTCTCCACCAATGCCACACTCGATGACGGCCGAATCCACCCCCTCCTTCAGGTATGCATGCAGTGCCATGAGCGTCAGATAGCGGAAGTAGACTGGCTTCGTGGGCACATCGGCAGGTGCGTTTTCTGCCTGCGCTGCAGCCTCGAGCTTGTCCCATACCTCAAAAAAGTACTTTGCAAACTTTTCCTCGGATAGCGGCTCATTGTTGATCTGTATGCGCTCACGAACGAAGCGTAGGTGCGGGGAGGTGTAGAGTCCAATTTTGGAGGGTGGCCGCGCCTGGGCTCCGGTGGGAGTGGCATACTGCGATAGGATTGACGAGATGAAGGCACTAGTCGAGCCTTTACCTTTTGTTCCCGCAATGTGTACAGGCCTCAGGCAGTCAAATTCGGAGGGCTGAGAATCCGGTCAATTGCAATGCTCGCATGGGCGTCTTGGGAGCCGCACACCTCATATCCAACCTTGCGACACCACTCAATCATCTCGGGGATTGCCTGCTTGTTCATACCCCGGCCAGATTTGCGTATCGCATCGACGATGGAGAAGTTTGACTGCAGCGTATTCAACGCCGCGACAGCAGCCTATGCCCGTCAGCTCCACTCTGAGTGTGTCTCATGGCGGGCATACCGCATAGTCACGCTTCTCCATGGTGGCGGTGCTGTGGTAGAACAGGCGTCTTGAGGCTCTCAACATGGGGGCATCCTGCTGCTTGCGTAGCGGACATGCAGCTGCACTTTTGTTCGCAGAATGGGAATGGGTCCGTCAACAGCCGATGTCGCCCTTGATAGTGCCGGGCTTGGCGCATTCCCCCAGCCGTTCTTTGAACCGCCGAGTCCTCTCTGTGTCTGCACAACGAATATACTGCGTACTGCAAACATGACCTTCGCGTGAGCGGAACCTGGCCTCCCATCGCAGCCGAACCGCACATCCGTCTGATCGTCAGCCCTGGTTTTGTCCAGCCCATCCCAGTCCGGCCTAGCCAAAACGTGTTGCGTTTTGTCGCTTCGGAGCACGCAACCCAGCGTGGAGCAGCTGCGATAATGCTCTCCACACCACCAGTTCCCAGACAAGAAGGCTGGTTTTGCGCTTGAGGCACATTCCCACTCACTTTTCTCGGCCAGGCAATGCAGCGGCGCCTTGCTGGAGTAGATCGACACCATTCGGTTCGAGGCCTCGAGTTCCGCCTCAAAATATGACTTCAATCTCGCCCCCAGCTCTCGACCCGAACATCACTGTTTCCATGCGTCTTGTAAACAGTTACAAAACTTATCACATCTTGCAACATTGTGTCTCTGCCACATATATAATGCCATATAATCGAAAAGGAAACATGTTCCTGTACCTGATGAGAGCGTTACCAACCAGGCACATCCTGATCTCAAACCGATTGTCCAGATCAGCAGAATGACAAATGGCTTTATTCTTATTATCAAGAGATCACCCAGGACCGAATAGCATTGATTGTCACCAAAGCAATTTCGACAAAAGGCTTGGTTTCTGCCCAGCAAATCATATTGTATACGCGCACCGTTTACAACTGTCAAACTTGAACAGCATGCAGATAAGAGTGCATTACCTGGACAAGCCGCAGAAAGTCTAAATAAGGTATACAACATTACTCGTATTAGAGCGTCAACCCGCTCAATTGCGCCGGTGACAATCTACTACAGCCGTCCGGTAACCTTGTTCCTGACAATCATATCAACTAATCCATGTCATGCCTGTCAAGCTAGGTGCCAATTCCCATCCAGCGCTGATAGCCTGGACACTGACAACACAAGCTACGTACGTATCCGTCTCTGCGCAGCCGAGACACAATGCGGCTGCAACATGAGCGAGGAGCCAAGCTTGCGAGTACTGCGACCTTTTTGGTCGCATCCATCCTTAGCCCCGCCGGATCGACGTTTCACGGATCAATACCTATCCTGGTCACCCCCATCATGGCGGAACGCCGCCCGGGTCACTGCAGCACATATTATCCTCGTCCATCTCCAGTTTCTAGTCGTTTTGCTATTTTGTGCTTTTTTCGCCTTCCACTCATCCACGCGATTTTCGAATGGCCTGTTGAGCAACCGTGGCGGATACTTCGCCATGGAGCTATTCACCGCATTCATACATTCCTTTGCCGATGTTGACTGGTGGCGACCAAGGGATCACATTCGGTCTTTGTGCTAGACGCACCAGACCCCCATTCGCTCAAAGACACGCATACACATCAGCATCAGCAATTCTGTGTGCGGCATAGTGCAAGGGCCCTGTCGCAACCAAGTCAGCTTACAAAGGAATAAAACACGGTTTCAACAACTCCAGCCTGGTGTTTTGGAAGCTACATTCACTCAAACACGCAAGCCTCTGCAGGAAGCACATCTTCCAGAGTAATTCTTAATTGTCACTGCCATTGCCATTTCCCGACAAGCCCCGTCATGTATACCATCGCCATCACTCTGACCGCCTTCTTATCGATACTCCACACAACCTCGGCGTCTTCAGTATCGCGCCTCACTCGTCGCGGCCTCCCAGGAGCATATTACACATGCACAGATCCCAATTTCTCGGGGGAATGTAGCTGGACTCAGCCTAACACCGATTGTCACATCCAGGGTAGTCCCGAAGGCATCGAATCGCTCGGGCCGGACGAAGGTACCCTTTGTACTCTATGGCCAGGATTCGACTGCAAGGGAAATCCCATCATGTCCATGCGATTTCCCGGCATCGCAACGGGGTTGCCAAAGTTTGGAAGCTTTAACTGTTCGGTTATGGCCAGCGACCAGCGGAACCAGGCGGAAGCTCTGGCCATGGTTGGGGGGGTCACTTTGGATAATGGAGAAATCAGGGAATTTGGGCTAAAGACTGTAGAAGGGAAGGGCAGGGAACAGGGTATGATTGGATTGAAAAAGGGTGTTTATTATTGATGTGGCAGTGATACTGTTGCTATAAGTTCTATACGGGATGGCTTTCTGGAGGATGCATGGGCGCATCTTTACGACATTTAACTTTCTTGTGTTTCTTTGTTGAGTGTACAGTAGACGTTTGAGTGGTTCTGATGCTACTGGATAGCAGTATGATACGTAGTCTTCTCCTGGGGCAAAGACCCATAAAATGATACCCCTAGCAAACATCCAAGATGTGGTTGGCATACAAAATCATGGGTCGCATAGCTATGGTGCTGAGGCTGTCAGAGTAAAACATGTGTGTTCCGCAATATGTTTTGATATGCGCAAAAATTCAATCGACGTTTGTCGAGCGGTAGAATATATTAAATAGTAATTACAAGTAATTAGATGTAGAAATGGAAGCTAGATCGGCAGGGTCCAACACCTAGCACCCCAGCCAGCTTTGTTAGGGCCACATGGCTGCTTGGCATGCTTCCCCACATGGGCCACCGCCACCCGTCGCGCTGCCATTGCAACGTCGCCTTTCTCCATACACTCTTTGCTTACTCTAAAAAAGAAAAAGAAACCTGCACATTCCTCCAACCCGTCAAAATGAAGGTCACCGTACTCCTTGCATTGGCCACGGCCGCCGTTGCTGACATCATCAACAACGAGGTAAGTAGAGCCAATTATAACATGCGTATGTCGAGCATAGCATACTGACAATGTCTATAGTACCTCAAGACCGAAGTCATTACTGAGGCCAAGTGCTCTCGCGCGAGCAAGGCTGGCGACAAGATCCACGTCCATTACCGCGGTACTCTTACAGACGGCACCGAGTTCGATGCTTCATACGGTCGTGGCGCGCCCTTGAGCTTCACCGTCGGCTCAGGCCAGGTCATCAAGGGCTGGGACCAGGGTCTGCTGGATATGTGCCCCGGCGAGAAGAGGAAACTCACCATCCAACCCAAGTGGGCATATGGCGAGCGGGGTGCTGGTCCCATTCCCCCCAACAGCGTTCTGAGTAAGTCGCGCTGAGTTGTCACATGGCAGATGCTTTTGAACTAATCCTTGGCAGTCTTCGAATCAGAGCTCGTCTCCATTGACGGCGTTGAAAAGGAGGAGCTCTAAACGTTGTATATGACCTACGACTGTGCGCTCTCCAGTTTCCGGTTGGATACCTGAGTTATGAGCAAGCAACAATGCAATACGATATCATGAAATAAATGGTCAAGAGGACCTCACATTTAAACCTTTCCAATTACAGTTGAAAACATACGTGGATCTCTCATATACCAAAACTCGGCGTCACAGGTCGTTGGCTAACAAATCTTATCGTGAATACGCCGACATGATGTCTGCACATAACTTGACACATGACTACCTTTTCTCAGTCTTTTATTCCACTTTATGCTACCTGGTTTTTATTTCTTGATCCTATGGGTTAGATTCATAGGCTATGCACAAAGCGCATTTTCATGTTGAGTACTATTGATTCTGTCTTCAGCTCCAATTCACTTGTTTGCTTTCACCACCACAAGCTCATTGTACACTAACATTATGGTTTCCACCAAAGGAAACCGCTTTACACTACATCTTTCACAATGTCTTGGTCGTCTCTACGCAATGAAACCTACAAGCCGATTGCAAACTTTACTCAACTGACAAACTCTGCACATCGACATCACAAATCCAGTTCGTTTCTACTTTCCAAACAATCGTCGTTTTCTCTCCTATTTTAAAAACCATGTCACCAACCAAGAAATCCGACGCCTCTGCTGCAAAGCCAAAGCCTCCTATCAAGAAGGTCAAAGTTGTCAACAGAGGCTCAGAGATCAAGCAAATGACAGCCACCGCCGAAGCAGCTCGGAAATCCGCAATATCCTCCAAGCAGCCTTCCAGTCTTAGTCTGATTCCACAACAATCTTCTGGCTCAACTCACATCGCACAAAGTTCTGGTCGAATACTCATCGGAAAGAATGCGGCCAGCAGGATAAGACAGCGCAATGATGTGGTTGGCAAGACTGAAGCTCCGATCTCTCAGCCTAAGACCAAGAAGATTGCAACTGAGAAAAAGGATGGGGTATATAATACTTCCTCACAGCGCAAGTCTGCGTTATCTCGCCCGGCTAGAGTTACTACAGAAGTTGCGACAACCAAGCAACCCAACGCCAAGAAGCTTGCCATTAAGAAAAAGGATGGAGTATATAATACTTCTTTAAAGCCCAATAAATTGTTTCGCAAGATTATAGCTCCAGTATTACAGCCCAAGACCAAGAAGCTCGCAACTAAGAAAAACGGGGAACTATGTAATATTTCTTCACAGCGCAAGTCTGGGTTACCTATACTCGATATCGATAAAGTTGCTACAGAAGCGGCGACAACCAAACGGCCTGTTCCTTCCCAAAACATTACACTCCAGCGTATGGCCAATAAAGCAGTCCGTTCCCTTGAAGAGCGTCGGTGGGTTGCTCAAACAGCGCTCGATGGTCTCTTCCCACTGATGAAGACCCATGATGCGATTGAGATCGCTGTCGCCGCGTTAGAAAAGCAAATTGACGATTGCAACTCAGATATCCAGCAGCTGAAAAGACTGGTCCACAGCTCGCATGCAGGTGATGTCAAGCCCACGGAGTTCAAGGTAAGGATACCTCTTCCCGTTAGAGTCAAGTGTTCTAATCTGTACAGACTATTCTCGCTTTAGCTTCACTGGTATCGTGTAAGAGAAATACAGACGAGGAAAACAAAATTAACAAAACCACTACGAAGACTCCTGAACTAGATATAAGGGGGAAACAAGTCGCGAGAGAAGTCGACCAAACTCGACCGAGGGACGAGACTTTGAATGCCGTCGAAGGCAATCAGAAACAAAGCATCAAACCCCCAGCAACTACCGACGAAGCCCGAACAAATAGATTGAGTCCACGATTAGACGAAGAGGTAATGTTCCCCTTTCATATCTACACATACACTGTTGCTGACTGACCAACGCAAGCTATTCGGCCCCGACCCCGACCTAGCAGCACCGATAAGCCGTTGCACAAACCCCATTTCACCATCTCGCATGAATACCGATGCACACCCAAGACTGCCCAGCTCCAAAGCGGTGTCCGTGCCGAGGACTCACAAGCCTTCTAACGCACCCACCGCCTGCTCAACAGAAAACATCAGGGCTGCAGAGTCAACCAAGAACGACAAACTACAAACAGTTGACACAGACAGACAGGCGCAAACAAAGACACAGAGTTCGGGAAGTAGATTATCCTCTCCGGAAGAGGATGATGTTGGTGGTGGTGTCAGGCCTGGATCACGTGCCAGCAGTGAAGACAAATTCCTGGGCAAGGAAAAGGGGGTCGAGGACAAGCGAAGCGAGAAGCGCAAGCATGAATATGTTGAGGCTGAAGATAAACCGAATAAGAAGGTCCATCTTTCAGGGCAGTGATTCTGCCTTGCTCAAGGCTTGTGGTGCAGGCGTCATGGAAGATTGCTGCGCCCAAGGGGACACAAGGACTGCCTAGCGGGTGATCTACTTAGGTTTGCCACTTGGACCGGGATATTCTGTATATGCAGGCTGTGCCATGTGCTCAGTCGGTGAGTGTAGAAGTAGGAAGAAGATGCTTCTGACCAGCGAGTGGAAGATAGACTCTTAGTGTGGCTGGCTAAAGCTAGGTGTAGTTGACATTGTGTTGAAGACTCAGTAGTGCATACGTAGATGGCTTGAACAGACACAATACCGTCAGCCATTCTTATTCAAAGCCACTTTCATTGCGCGATGACATTGTCTTTTAGTCAAGATTTTAACTCGACCATATACGCCTCCGCAATGTTGGATAGGTCGAATTAAGGAAGTGCACAGAGGCGCTGAAATTACGTGACTGGCTAGTGCTCACAGCCTTGCGCGCCTCCTTGTCAGCGCGGTCAGACACCTGCCTAGCAATGCCCACACGTGGAAATCAGCGCGATGGCTGACGCGAACCATTTCAGGTAACTACTTCCAGCCCGATTGCGATGTCAAGTTGGAGAGTCTTGGTAGCCGTCCATGTGAGGAGATCGGACTCAATGAGCGCAACTATGACATCACCCGGCATATAATAGCTGCCGGGACGTGCATCGGGTTCCAGAATCGGGTAGCCAAGGTAGCCATGCAGTTCACTCCAACATGTTCGAGTATTATTCACGGGCCACTTTCCTCATTGCGCTCAGCGACCGCTGGGAGATGACTTGGGAATTTCTGCAGAGCGGCGAATGGCCGGTATGAACCCGTCCGGAAAGGCTGGACCTCGGTAGAACTTTCAGCCGCGCTGGGCGTACTAATCATTCACTCTCCTAGAGAATATGCTGCGGCACAATGTGGTACCTCATCGTCATTCGCGTCGCCGGGCTGTGAAAGGGGCTTCCGTCATGCGGTGGCCACAGTCAAGAGCCATTCATCGCCACGAGGGTGCCTGGCGTATACACAGGTTGTAGTCACTTTCATGGTCAGCAACTGTCTGGAGCGGAAGGCGAGACATGGAGTGCTCGGAATAAGGCCGATTAATTGAGTCTGCCAAGGCGAGGCAGACTGGTGACCACCACCAGCTTTGTATCCGAGTAATTTCAAGAAGAAAAAAAACGAGCCGTCTTGGACAGTGGGCAGCCTGCAAACAGAAGTGTTGCTCGAACTGTTCCAGATTGCAAACGTTGTAGGGCTGCTACAGTGTGCATACAGCCAATCACATGTGGCTGAAATTAACCGAGCAAAAGCATGCAAAGAGAGAGATTACAGCACTCCAGGGCCAGTAGTCTGGTAATCTCCCAGGTGGCAAGAATCTCTAGGTAGCAAGCATTTCAGTATACGCCGCAGCAAGAGGCGAATACTACATTGTAGTACGTATACTTACTATTCAGCTTGACCAGCCCTGCACTCAGCTGGCCAGCCTCGTGGCGTAGAGCGTCCAGCCAATCGCGGGCAATGTAGATCTGAGGCTAAGTACATGCGCCACGCAGCGCCACGCAGCTAAGCCTCAGGCTCTGACCAATCAATACGCTCAGTTCCTGAAACTAGAGGATCGATCTACACGTAGTCTCCAAACGCATGGTCCCTATTGCATCTCCACCATTCTTTCAGTTTCAACCTTCTCAAATGTCTATACAATGCCTTCAGACATTCCACAAGCCATACACGTGTGCCGGAGCGGAAGCTGGGGGGCGTCCGTGCTCTAAGGCGCGGAGAGGTTTGCACTGCCCCCTTCCAAGAACGCCGGGCAGCTTGTCTTGCGCTCATCTCGCCTTCAACGGTTCTAGTCGCCAAAGCAATCATCTGGCCTATCTTGGCGAGCCCTCGCCAGCTCAGTGTCCAGCACCACGATAGGAGATGGCCAGGATTTCGCAACTGGTGCCACGGCCGTACCATTGCTGGCCTCCACCCATAGTCATGGCGAAAATTGCCCGAAACCTCATCGAGGCGGCACCGCGCCAAGCAGCCCTCTGGCAGAGCTTGTATCATCAGGCAGGTCCATACCGGCACCAAGCGCCCAGCGGGCTTGGTTATGGGGCAAACATATACACAGCCCACTTCTTGGAAGCCAGTACTATATGGTGGCTCGAGACGCGCCCCTCGACGTGTCAGACCTGGTCCTCATTTCACCCTCACGTGCACTCACCGCTATCTCCTGCTGCTAGTATCTAGTATACCCCTACTTCTAATCTTTTGAGATCTAGCGGCAGCAGTGTTACCTGCCTTGTACCTCTCTTTTCATCGTTCACCATGGAGACGGGCAAGTTGGCCCCGCCGACACTCCAGATCAACACACGGCAACGCGCGTTAAGCCAGGCCGACACAATCACCTCACAAACATCAGATCCCTTTCGAACACCCATATCACCAAGTAATGCGTCCACCAGTGGAGTATCTACAGTCGTNTCAGAGTATGATGCAGCAGTCCAGCAAGAGCTGCGGGCAGAAGCCGCGTCTGATACAGACAATCCCTTCGCCTTTCGACCATCACAGCTGAGCAAGCTTCTTAACCCCAAGTCGCTTGCAGTATATCATGCTCTCGGTGGTCTGCAAGGAATCGCAGCCGGCTTGCAATCAGATGTTCATACTGGACTCAGTGCCGACGAGTCCACAGTGCCACGGCATATTTCCTTTGACGAAGCAACGAACCCACATGCAACTCCCAAGGAAAAGACATCGGACCGATTACCGAGAGACGGACAGCCATTTGAGGACCGGATTCGTATTCATGGGCGAAATGCTCTACCACCAAAGAAAGCCACTCCGCTATGGAAGTTGGTATGGAACGCATACAACGACACTGTTCTTATAATCCTTACCATTGCGGCTGCAATCTCGCTGGCGCTTGGTCTCTATGAAACATTTGGAGCAGAGCATCCCCCTGGCTCCCCGACACCCGTTGATTGGGTAGAAGGCACTGCTGTTGTGGTAGCCATAGTCATCGTGGTTCTTGTTACGGCAGTGAATGACTGGCAAAAAGAGCAGGCCTTTGCAAGGCTCAATGCAAAGAAGGAACANCGCGATGTCAAGGTTACACGGTCTGGGAAAATCGTCATGATCAGCATCTATGATATCCTAGCGGGAGACATCATCCACTTGGAGCCAGGCGACAT